CTGGGCCACCCTGCAGACAAAACAGGTAAATGCTACACCACCTCAGCCTGTACAGGAGTTCGGAAGTGGAGTAAGGAGTGGAGGTGGTGAGACACCTGCGGGCGCTCTGAAGTAACACACATGAGGAACCCCTGATTCAGGCCCACTAAGGGCAAGAGACCACCCGCCACTGGCGGACCCACAACACCAGGGCCTCCTGTCTCCCTAGCATGGGGCAGGACTTGGCCTCTGAGCCCCCGAGTCCGTGGATCAAGGATGCTGGCCTGCAAATCAGCCTGGGGCGGGAGGTATGTCCCCCAATGCGCTCCCTCTGCAGAATCCTGAAATGCTCCTAGTATCTATACCCTGAGCAAACCGACAGCCGGCATAGGCTGAATGACTCTCATCTAGTGGCACCAATCTAGTTCACGCTCCGGGACTGTAAAGTAACCTTATGCTGACATAGTGCTCTTTGTAGTTCACCTGGTATTACCTTGCTTGTTTTCATTTATTTTTTCTGTTGTAGCTAGAAGCCATCTTAGGCAGCGCTGTGAGGGGCCTAACATGTTAGCGGAGCATGCTATGCTTGCAAATCAGTGCTTGAGGACCACTCGCAATTAATGCTAGGGCACCCTCCCACACGCTTATCGTTTTGTCCTCCTCTTGCGCTAAGCCCAACGCACCCTGATCAGGGGTATTGTAAGGGCACAACTCAACACTTGTCCAAGACAATACTTTTGACACCTAGTGCATTATGTGACAGTATTTTCCAATGCCTGATAACACAACAAGCCTCCCAAGGCACCAGCCAGTGGCACACAAACCTCTGTTTTCGCAATGTTACCATCCTAAAGTTCAAATACCCACTCAACAAAACTCGACAAAGCTACTGTTTTATACTTAATATTATAAAATTGTGCAATTGTAATACTTGATGATAAGCCTGAGGATTGCCAATGGGGCACCTCAAGCCTGTATGTAATGTTCCTAGGCACTGCAAAAAAAAGGCATACCTGCTACTCTTAAAAAAATTCACCAGCTTAAAAGGTCATCAGTAAATTCTGGCATGAATTTCCGGTGGGACTATCCCACCTAATGTTGGGAGGTATTGTAATATCCAATGTGTGCAAGTGTTTGATTTCAACACATTCTGAAAACAATATACAAAAAGAAATTATAGTCTACCAGAAATCTGGTAGACAGCCACTAGAGGTGGAGTTAACCCTGGATAGTAATTATTGCAATTTCTCAATAACTGCAATATTACTATTGCAGGGTTAAGGGACATTGCACCCAGACCACTGCAATTAGTTGATGTGGTCTGGGTGACTACAGTGTCCCTTTTACGCACTTTAAAAATCACAAATAACATCAAGTGAAAGAGCTGTAACAACAAAACAATATTACTTGATATTAGATACCAAGTAAAGCGATAGCCATCATGTCATTTCATGTTCACATTATTATGCGAGAGGAAAAATAATTATTATTTATTTATTTTTTTAAATGGAGGACTAGAATGGCCAAAATGAAATAATATAAACGATCACAGAAAAACATAAAGAAGGAAAAACGCTTTCTCTGCATATAATTCATACAGACTGAGCACAGCCACGTGGGCATTCTGCATGCATTCCCAACACTTACCTCCACATTTTAATAAGGTTTATATTGAAAGCACTTTTCCTTTTGAAATAAATAGAAAATTAAAAAATGTCACCTGAACAAATATGTGCCCCCTTCTTCATTATCAATATTTAAAATTCCAAAAGAAGGGCATGGCAAGAATGTCTAGGAGAAGCCTATTTTTATTTTAAAATGTGACTTCCCAATACATTTATGGCTACTTATGTAAATGGTCGTACTTACAAACATTACACAGTGTAACATGACCAGACTATATTCTAAATACATAGAACTGGGAAACACGCGTTCGAATCCCAGCCAGACCAATTGTCCTTGGGCAAGACACCCAACTCTATATATCCACCTATCTCAAATCCTCAGATTGAAAGCTTGTTTGAGCATGGCCTATCTAGAATAGTAAAGCATTGCGGAACATGTTGGCACTATATAAATGCGAATATACATTAAACATTATTATGTCATACATACATTAAAGCACTTGGAACAAATGGACACTAGAATGGGAAAAGGATTTTAGCTCGAAGGTGAACACTGGGAAGTGTTGCATTTAATACTGTATTCAATATAAAAAATTGGAAATATTTTCAGAAACTGCAGGAAACTGTAAAGGTTAATGGACTGTAATAACAGAAATATGCCAGGTCCACCCACCAGTGTTACAAAATTAAGTCTTGTGCTATGAAACTAAAAATGATGTGAAATAGCCAGAAACCGTGTTATGTTACATAGCAAGGAAACAAAAACAGAAAAGGATCCTGGAGTTTGGCTTCTAACAATGAGCACAATCCACAGAGCTGCAGTCATAACTGAAAATGTCAAGTTTCCATACTGTAGTGTTCAAGAATGTGGTTTATGGGAATAAGAAACAAAGTGGAATAACCAAGAAGACACCTTAAAATTCTAAGAACTATTTGCTGATGTTTTGTAACCCGCATGGTTTGAGTAATCTAGTCAACATTCTAGATGTTGACATCCTATATATATTATTATTGTGATTTCTACATAGGAAGAAAAAGGCCATAATTCACTTAGAAGTGAGTTGCAGTAGCTGCAAAAACGTAAAAATGCCCTAGCAAGAAAAAACAAAACAACAATTAGACCCAATAAACGTGAAAAACACAAACATCTGGGAAGACCGTTTTTCACAATAAACCCGATTCCCCCGATGTTGCAGAACTACAACTCCGATGCTTTAAATGCATTTGGAATGCCTTTAGAATGGCAAAGCATCATGGAAACAGTAGTTTTAAAAACATCTGAGGATCTACCGTTTGGGCACCGCTATATTAAACCATGCAGTTTTCTGTAATAAAAATGATAGACTTGCTGGGGAGCCTATTAGTTGAATAGGATACAGGCCTATTTAAAATACCTGACCAATTTTAAAATGTATACACTATATACACATACATATACTATTAATGTGCAATGTCATTACAAAAATATGTAATAAAAAAAGGCATAGAGATTAACAAACAAGCAAATAAAAAAAAAATTAAAAAAATGTATGTTTTATATTTCAGTCTTCCATTGCTGCGCTTACATTACCAAACTCAAATGTAGTGGTTTTAAAATATATGAGAAGGTAGCAACCTCTTTTAAAGGAACACTATAGTCACCTAAATTACTTTAGCTAAATAAAGCAGTTTTAGTGTATAGATCATTCCCCTGCAATTTCACTGCTCAATTCACTGTCATTTAGGAGTTAAATCACTTTGTTTCTGTTTATGCAGCCCTAGCCACACCTCCCCTGGCTATGATTGACAGAGCCTGCATGAAAAAAAACAAAACAAACTGGTTTCACTTTCAAACAGATGTAATTTACCTTAAATAATTGTATCTCAATCTCTAAATTGAACTTTAATCATATACAGGAGGCTCTTGCAGGGTCTAGCAAGCTATTAACATAGCAGGGGATAAGAAAATCTTAATTAAACAGAACTTGCAATAAAGAAAGCCTAAATAGGGCTCTCTTTACAGGAAGTGTTTATGGAAGGCTGTGCAAGTCACATGCAGGGAGGTGTGACTAGGGTTCATAAACAAAGGGATTTAACTCCTAAATGGCAGAGGATTGAGCAGTGAGGCTGCAGGGGCATGTTCTATACACCAAAACTGCTTCATTAAGCTAAAGTTGTTCAGGTGACTATAGTGTCCTTTAAATAGATCTTGTTTTTCCTTTTCTTTAAAGGACCACTCTAGGCACCCAGACCACTTCAGCTTAATGAAGTGGTCTGGGTGCCAGGTCCAGCTAGGGTTAACCCATTTTTTTTTTTATAAACATAGCAGTGCGCATTCAGCCGACGGGGAGGATTGGAGGAGGAGAGTTCCCCGCCCAGCGCTGGAAAAAGATAAGTTTTACCCCTTTTCCAGAGCCGGGCGGGAGGGGGACCCTGAGGGTGGGGGCACCCTCAGGGCACTATAGTGGCAGGAAAACGAGTATGTTTTCCTGGCACTATAGTGGTCCTTTAACAGTAAACCACTACTATAAAAAAATGACACCATCATAACTGAATATATTACCCTTTTCATCCCCCACCTGGAAGGGGGGGGGGGGAGGAAGAGTGGATTCTTCCTAGCAGCCCTTCCTTTCCTAATTTAAATTTATTTAATTGGGGATTGTGGACAACATGTCATTTTTAAACAAAACTTACTGGACAGAAATACAGGACAGTTTTGGAATACATTTCTCCATAATTTCTAGTGAAATAAATAGCCCGTGTATGTAAGATGCAAAAGATTACCTGGAGAACTGGAAAGCGTCTGGCAGAGTGTCAGCATGTAAGACTACAATTCCCATCATTCTCAACACAAGCTATTAGTGTGCATTTTGTTTACTGCTGAAATCAGTGAAGCAAAGCACTTCCTCCTTAGATGGGAAACTATTAAATTGCTAATATTTTTATAAAATTACTGACCATGGATAACTACAAGCCTTCTCACATTTTTAACTTAAAAAAAAAAAAAAGAAAAAATTACTACAACAAATATCCATATTTACATATAGCCCTTTATAATTGGTAAGCAATAGACAAGCCTGACTCTTGATTGACTTTTCACAGATAACCGAACATGGGAGCTCGGTACTACAAAACAAGGAGAATGCCTTTCCAATTGTACATTTAATGTATGCACACTGCATGCAAAAGTTGGACAAAACTGACCCAGCCAAGAAAGTTATAACTCATCTTTGGCACTGTCAGACCCAGGAGGCTGGCTTACAGTTACAGCAATTTCTACAAACAGCTCAAGTCAGTAATTATGTCACAAGGAGAATGGGTGCAAGTAACTTTCAGCACCTTAACCTTTAAAACCATGGAGAACTGTTATAGGTCTTAGAGCGACCCTTTAATTCTAAAACACATTTAGGTTTCCAGTTAAGCAATTTCGTCTATAATTCCAGAATTGGGTGCTATAAGTGCTTGAAAAAAAAAAAAAAAAAGTTATTTGCATCTACTGATAAGTTTACATAGATATAGAAAGAGAATATTAGTACTTACGATCAAGTCCATTGATGTATCGCATTGTAATTTCACAGTGACCCCATACAGCACTGACAATAGGATAAAGTTTTTTCCCTTTAAGTCCTCTGAAGGCAACTCCTAAGTATTGTCCATCCACTATGAAACTAAGAGTTCCTTCGTCCATGTCTAAAACTACAAGCAAAGAGTCTGGGAGTACAAATGACTCATCAGGTTCTAAAAATGCTGGATATGTCACACCAGGCTGGTTCTTACAGTTGTGATAAATTTTGTTTCGTCCCAGGTCCCAGCCCCAAGACTCGCTATTGCTTCCCACCAGCGATGTATATCCCACCGAATGCAAAGGAGCATCTCCAGTAGATACGCCAACAACAGCATGAGTTCCTCTTTGTCTTATGGGCCAATGGATCTGCCAAACATGAAGGCCTCGTGTGTATCCAACTTTACCTCTAATGCAGTCTGTACTTTGTGCAACTGGGTGCCGATGGAAAGTTAACCGATCATCCTCTTTCACAAAGATATTCAAAGATCGATCCTCATTATTCCATCCATGCTTGTGCTGAGCTTCCAAAGCAACAGGGGGCATATCCAAAAGCATATCTAGTCGAGCAGGTTTACAGAAGTCAGGCCCCCTAAGCTCACGTTTGACTGGTCTGTAAGGGGGATCCCGAACATCCACAGATTTTATACTCCCTGAGATCTTTTGACCCATTTCTCAGCGGTGGGTTTACAAGTAAGGGAAGGTAGAGGGGCAGGGGATAAGGAAAGTTGTCCTTTGATTCCTGCTGTTACCTGATTAACATACTTTATCTGGAAGTCAGTCACTTGTGCAAGAAATGGAGCCTTGGAAGACTTTTCACAAAAAAGAAAGTAGTAAATCCAGTTCCTCTGTAATTACGTTCCTGCAAAAAAAAAAAAAAATTAGCACAGAAACAAACTGGAAATGCTGTATTCTGGCACATGAGGTGAATGATTAAGCAAGGTTTTCTGTCAGATAACAGGATTCAAATTTCAGCTACAATTTATTGATTGGATACATGTCTGAAAGACGCTAAAAGGTTTGGTTTAATTTGCAGTAATATGCTCCTTGTTCAGTTCTAAAAAGTATAATTCAAACTGAATTTACTACAAATTGCCAAGCCAATAGAAAAGTTCCTAATCTTGTGTTAAAGCAGAACCAGAACACTGCTTTAGTGCACTTACCAAGTTGGCAAGAAAGCGGATAAATGACTAGTTATTTTAAAATGCTAGAACTGTACACATTGTTTTACATATTTTTATTTTATTTTTTTATCTCCCATTCTGTTAATACTTTTTCAAAAGTAAAAACCAATAAAAAAACTAAACTATATTATATATATATAGCACATATACACACACCAAATATACATACACACATATTTACTTATTAAAAAAGGTATTGCTAATCCTATAAATTATTAAGAGAATATAGGTTCCTTCTGCTACTTTAACTCCATTAAACCATAAAAAAAAAATAAAAAAAAATATCAAATTTTACTCAAAAGACCCACTAAGAGGTCTTTTTGTAAGTTTAAGTAGAGAAAAGTAAAATTATATTTTATTAGCTTCCACTCACAAGCAGGATCGTTCTAGTTAAGAATCATGATGTATGGCTAGGCTGTAAAACTCCATAGAATGTTCTCCAGACTGACAAACCTTTTACCTTGGTGTCATCGGCTGCAACTGACAGTTATAAACCCTGAGCAGATTCCAACCGGCAAAAAACAAAATGTGCCTGAGAATGTACAGCACTCACAGTGTGCAGCACAGACAATAACTTCCTATGATTCATAATGGGATACAGACACACACCATTTTCCTACATCAGTCTGGCCAAAGCCCCGCCTTGCTAAGGAGAACATTACTTGCATTCTTTAAGTAACGGTTTAGCCTAGTAGTAGAACATAGAGCACTTTTTTTACTTTTAGAAATAAAGTTTGTATCACAAAATAAATATTAAAGATTTACTAGAAAGTTTTTATACCATATTTGCAAATGGCCAACAGTACTACAAACCCTATAATACTACATAAATACTTTACAACATTGCCACTATTAACAGGTTATTTTACATTCTACCACAGATAACCAAAAAGTTGTTTTAACTTAACAATAATGGATAAGGTGTACGGTCGGGTTCTCTGGAATTTATACCACTGAATAAATTGTTAAAAATAATCATCCATAACTCATGTTAACGTTTTTTCCTCTCTCTAAGATGCTCTGTTAAAAAATATATATAAAATTAAAAAAAAGTGCAGCAAAGTGAAAGTGTCCGTGCAATGCACAATATGGTGTTCAAAACATCAAATACAGTTAAATGTGCATTCACAAGTGTGTTATGTGTGTAAAATGTACTAAAACAACTTACTAAGGAAATAGGGATGTCACACTATTTCTTCCAGAGATATATAAGAACTATATTTCCTTATTAAGTTGTTTTAGTACATTTTAAACACATAACACACTTGTGAATTTGCACATTTATTGAATTGTATTTGATATTTTGAACACAATATTTTGCATTGCACTGACACTTTCTTTCACTTTGCTGCACTTTAAATTTTTAAAGGTATAGCAGACCTTTTTTATCTAATATTTGTTTGATTGGGTGTTTTTAGAGCTTTTCCACTGGTAAGGTGCTGCTTTACCTTTGTTACCTTTTGTACATGTATATATTGTACCACGATACTGTAAATTATTAGCGTCACTTTGCTTGATTCTTTTGTATATTAAAAAAAACTTTGTGTGTGCAAATTACATCATAATCTAGGTCAGACCCAGTAAAGCCAGGGCAACCATTGCAAATGAAGAGGAGAAGTAGAAACATGGTTTCATTTCTCCTCTTCTCTGTATGCTCTCTCTATGCTCACTGCTAGGTGCAAATGACAGAGCTTATAATATTGATTGACATGGAGCTAAAATAAAGTCACACAATTAAAGGACTGGTGAGAGTATCTAAATTTAATTCTACTTTTTCATACGGCACAAATCCACATTTAGTAAATACAGGGATAAACAAACATGTTTACCCGCAACCGCCGGTCTCTCTTTTGCAGGACTCTCCACGGCTCATTTTAACTGAATCTCACAATACAGCAGAAGACCAGGAATACAGAAAGTATACTGTAACCCAGTGGTCCCCAAACTTTTTAAGTTCAAGCAATATTTTTCCAAGGCGCCCCAAGGCAAAACTATTTCTAGGTGGTATACATATACTGGGCCCTTGTAACAATCCAGGCACAATAATCACTACAGCACGCTGTAGTGGTTAAAGTGCCAGGAGTTTCGTGGAGCCCTCCCAGGGTAAGTAGTCAAACTGTCTAAGAACAGGGGGATCAGGATAGGGGCATTGGTGTGTGTGTGGGTGTGTGTGTGAGGGGTGCAGTGTGTACACGGGGGTGCACTGTGTTTGTGAAGGATGTAGTGTGTGGGGGGTGCATTGTGTGTGTGTTTGTATTGACGGGTACAGTAGGCGTATAGAGGGGCAGAGCGTGTGTGTGTGTGTGTGTGTGTGTGTGTGTGTGTGTGTGTGTGTTTATATGGGGGCAGTTTGTATGGAATAGGGATAATTATTGTAGGTTTGGAGGGTAGATTAAATATAGATTTTTAAAATAAATAAAAAAAAAAAAAAAGAAAGATCTCTGATCTCCCCTCTGGTCCTGCAGAGCCGGCAGGGGAGAGGGAGGCACAGTTCCCAGTGCTATCATCTGTGATTCCGTTGGGCGCCGCAGCACACCGTTTGGGAACCGCTGCTGTAATCCATAAAGAGCAAAGCACTTCACCTCGAGTCTAATTCGATGTTGCTTACAGCCCCTCCTAGGACACAATGCTTAGTTTTTCTTATGCCCCCTTAACTCAATTCTTGTTTATTTTTTCATCTTTTCCTTTCCTTATATTGGGACATTGTACTGCGAGGAATCTAAATGAGCAGGGACTTATGCCATTTACTCTGTGGGTTGTGGATATACCTAATTCAATAGCTTCAACCTTTAGGAAGTCTACATGTGTCAAATATGCTTGTGAGTGAACTGTAGAGCTAGCTACTCATCTGAACTGTCATTGAGATGTTCGGGAATGACAAATACTTAAATTTCCAGCAGTACTTTCCTCTTGCTTGTATCAAGGATATGATGTTTGCACTTGGACCTGCTTGTCAGTATCATGCATTAATTCTTTGCCTTGTGTATGTATTTTTTCACTCCTCGATAAAGGTTTTAATTTGGAAAAATATAAATAAATGTATAGTAAAAAAACCCTGTTGAGAACAACGGGAAGGGACCCTTTCTCTTTAACCCCTTAAGGACCAAACTTCTGGAATAAAAGGGAATCATGACATGTCACACATCATGTGTGCTTAAGGGGTTAAAGAAACTGTATTATGGGAAAAAAACAAAACATAAGCACAGACAAACGACAAAATACAACCTATTCATGAATAAAATATATTTTAAACCAATTGCTGTGTCGTACATAAAAGCTATTTTGAAGATCAAAGTAGTACAACATTTATATTGGGATAATTAGCTGAAAAGATTATCCAGTTAGCTCTTATTAAAGCACGGAGGGAGGTGAAAAGAAGGCAAGACAGACTGTATATATAGATCACATGTAAAATAAGCCAGCCAGACCTTTAAACAGGTCTGAAGCAGCAGGTAAAAAGTGCAGCAATTATAAGAAAATGTGTTTGATTTTCCAAAGTCATATTTGTGTGGATAGACTCAGCAGGGTGAATCTCTTACCACTGATGCATGCTGTGCTAGCGTACATGGGTGGAGCATGAGTCATTCAGCAAGTATTTGCCTAAGTGTTATTGGGAAGGACACAAAATAACATAACAGTTACAACTATTACGCATCAAACATTTGCATCACATGCGATTCGGTCATTTCAGTCGCCAAGGTTTTTCCATGAAAATAAAAAAGTACTGTCTGTACTATGCTGTGTTTTTGAGGAGGTCATCTTACATGTAATAAAATCATGTATGATTTGCACGTTTATAAGCAATTTTAATAAAAGCCATATTCTTTCTGTGAGAAAATCATTGCTTATGTAACTGCTGCAATGGATTACAGGAGACGTGCTTAGAGACGTTTACCATCAATGGCACCAAAAAGGGTAGACCAACATGATATTCTAGCATGTGCCATATTTATGAAATCTTGAAGGATTATGAATACCGACCACACGAACAGGATATTGCCACATGTACAGACTGGTTAAGGATGACAGGAAAATGTTGTATAAGCGAGGTATCACAATATCACGAAAATCACTGGCTATTATGAAGATCCAGAAAATGGATGAAGATTCCAAATGAGGAATTTAAGAAGTACAGGAAGTAAGGATTTGTCAGTTCGAAGAATGACATGCACTAGAACAAGGGGTCATGCTGCAATGGTATCAAGCTAATGGAATGTGTGAGAACGGAATATCCTGCTGGAAAATTAATTTAGTAGAATACTACATTAGGCCAAGGACACCAAATTAAGAATCAGGGAATAAGACATGAAGGTATAATCTTTTAGATAACCAATTTGTCGACACATCAGTATTTCTATGTGTTGGGGGGGGGGGTCCCATCAGGATAAATGTCATTTTGCTTTTTATGGGTGCTGTTAGTACAGAGTTATGGTTAAATATAATGAATGGGGTCCAGGTATCCAATTAAAATCAAGTCATTTTCACATCAGTTCAAAATGAAAGCCAGTCCATACATCCTACATCTTCTATATTTCACTTTTAGATTAACTATGTATGGGGAAAAAAAACCCTAAAATACTATTTTTTTCTTGCAAACATGTTGCCTCTTAAAAGCAGTGTGATGGACCACCTGACACCCCAACTAGGTACCCCCATCATTCGCTGCTTCCTAGTAATTCCTGAGTACCATAATCACTGCCCTGGACACCATAACCACCGTGAACCCCACAAACCGCCACAGCTTGGTTGGGGTCTCGCTGTCCTCCACCCACCCTGGACCCAAGACCAGGATCCAGCTTCCAGTACAGAGAGGGAAGCAGGATGCTTTTACAAGAGCAATTTGTTGTGATCCAAGGGAGTATAGTGATCATAGCAATCCCCAGAGTGAATATAGCTCTCCAATCCCCCAAACATGAGCCTGGACTTCACGAAGGATAAAAGCCACAACTAGCCTTATATGCAGGTTCCAATGCAAGGGGCACTCCCCCTGGACCTGAGAGTAGACTACAGTGAAAACATATACACGATTACATTGGCTCTCAGGTCCAGGACACTCCCATACAAAAAAAAAAAAAAATAATAGGTAAATTCCTCCTCTATGCCTGGGAGATAATTGAGTAAGCCACTGTATAAAACTGTAAAATTATCTCCAGGCACAGAAAACACATTTTTACAAAACCTCCAAAATACCTTAAAACACACAAAATCTCCACAAAAGTTACATCCCCTGATAGCCCTGATCTGGGTGACCAAAATATCCCAAAATCACCCAGATCGGTTCAGGAATTTCCTGGAAGTCATAATTTGACCGACCGCACACATGGTCCCATGCCAAAAATAGTTCCATAGAATCGCGGCTAAGTGCTGCTGGGGACCGACCAGGAACCGTGAAGTCTTGATGCCGAAAATAATTCCAGGGCATTCGCGGCTAAGCCCCCCTGAAGTCTATTCGAATGGCCAGGGAGCTAGCGTTCGGTTCTACGCGCATGAATGGAAAGTGTCGAACCAGGGGGAATAAAATATGGGTCTTTACAGTCGTTGACCTGGCCCATAATCGGTGGGCAGGAGGCCAGCTTCCACACTCCTCCAGGAGTCCGTGGAAAGCGACATTTGTCACACGCAGCTTCGGCTAAAATACAAATTACAGATATCCCATAAAGCAGTGAGCTATGTATTTCCACAGTAAATTTTTTTCGAGGTACAGTTTTGCGGTATGTGATCATCCTGAAACACACACATATTTGTGTAAGGTTTCCTTTCAATTATCACCTATTGTATGGGTTATTTTTCTGATTAGTTTCTTTATCTGTTTTTTCCCCTTCTTCACACTTATTGAAGTTTTAAATTGAATATAAAATTGAGAGGGTAACAGAGCAACTCACATATCTATTTGGTTCTTTTGTTTCCTCTCACACTGAAAGAGGTACACCATATTTGAGAAAGCAATGATGCTTACTCCATTTAATGTTCTAGTGTGCCTGGTTGCCTCTTACTCAATACTATTGATGTGTATTTATACGTATGAATTTGCTCAGATATTGACTTGAGAAGATATACTTAAATGGGACTATTGTGCAATTTTTATTTACTGCTGTCTGTATCTTCCTTCACTCCATCAAAAAACAGTTGAGTTGAGATAAATAAAAAAAAAATAAAAAAAAAAGGTATATTGGCATGTGTTCACAAGGCATGCTGGGCCCCTCATCCCTTAATGATATGGGCATACACATAGGTTTACAGTGCGATGTTGTGATGATGATTCTAAGTGGCTTTCTTATGTTTAAATAACCTCTTCAACAATAATAGCTGAACTTTCACAGATAACGTACACATCTGATTGAGTATCTGTGGGATGTACTGGAACACAAATCCAATTCCTGGAGGTCCCACCTCGCAACCAGCAGGACATAATCTACTGCCAATGTCTTGGTGCCTGATACGACAGGATACCTTCAGAGATCTTGTACAGGCCATGCTTTGACGCATTAGAGAGGTTTTGGCAGTATGAGGAGGAACTACACAACATTACTCAGGTGATTTTAATTGTCGTGGCAGAACATAAGTACTTCTATTCCTATCACAGGTCATGCTTTCAGAAACAAAATTTTCAGAAATTCAGCAAATAGGCTGGAATATATACACAGCATAGGAAAGCATCCTCCAATAATAGCTCAGAAATGCTTCAAATTGTGTGGGTGTGCAGAGCTGTGTTGATACGGAAGTATGAAGCGGTGTGTAGGAGTTAAGATTTGTGTGTATCTCTGAGAACAGAAGTACAGATTTTTGTGTATGGATGTGTGTGCATCCAACAGTAAGGACCAGCGACCCTCATGTGAGAACATGACTATAATATTGCTCCCTGGGAAACCAAATTGAGACTTTGGTTTTAACTGAATACAGTAAAAATGTGAACTGTATGATGCATGCTGTACCAATGACAAACCAGTCACTGTCACTTTCAGTTAAACAACCCACAGCATAAACAAAGTCATTCAGTGGGCAAATACAGGGAGTGCAGAATTATTAGGCAAATGAGTATTTTGACCACATCATCCTCTTTGTGCATGTTGTCTTACTCCAAGCTGTATAGGCTCGAAAGCCTACTACCAATTAAGCATATTAGGTGATGTGCATCTCTGTAATGAGAAGGGGTGTGGTCTAATGACATCAACACCCTATATCAGGTGTGCATAATTATTAGGCAACTTCCTTTCCTTTGGCAAAATGGTCAAAAGAAGGACTTGACAGGCTCAGAAAAGTCAAAAATAGTGAGATATCTTGCAGAGGGATGCAGCACTCTTAAAATTGCAAAGCTTCTGAAGCGTGATCATCGAACAATCAAGCGTTTCATTCAAAATAGTCAACAGGGTCGCAAGAAGCGTGTGGAAAAACCAAGGCGCAAAATAACTGCCCATGAACTGAGAAAAGTCAAGCGTGCAGCTGCCACGATGCCACTTGCCACCAGTTTGGCCATATTTCAGAGCTGCAACATCACTGGAGTGCCCAAAAGCACAAGGTGTGCAATACTCAGAGACATGGCCAAGGTAAGAAAGGCTGAAAGACGACCACCACTGAACAAGACACACAAGCTGAAACGTCAAGACTGGGCCAAGAAATATCTCAAGACTGATTTTTCTAAGATTTTATGGACTGATGAAATGAGAGTGAGTCTTGATGGGCCAGATGGATGGGCCCGTGGCTGGATTGGTAAAGGGCAGAGAGCTCCAGTCCGACTCAGACGCCAGCAAGGTGGAGGTGGAGTACTGGTTTGGGCTGGTATCATCAAAGATGAGCTTGTGGGGCCTTTTCGGGTTGAGGATGGAGTCAAGCTCAACTCCCAGTCCTACTGCCAGTTCCTGGAAGACACCTTCTTCAAGCAGTGGTACAGGAAGAAGTCTGCATCCTTCAAGAAAAACATGATTTTCATGCAGGACAATGCTCCATCACACGCGTCCAAGTACTCCACAGCGTGGCTGGCAAGAAAGGGTATAAAAGAAGAAAATCTAATGACATGGCCTCCTTGTTCACCTGATCTGAACCCCATTGAGAACCTGTGGTCCATCATCAAATGTGAGATTTACAAGGAGGGAAAACAGTACACCTCTCTGAACAGTGTCTGGGAGGCTGTGGTTGCTGCTGCACGCAATGTTGATGGTGAACAGATCAAAACACTGACAGAATCCATGGATGGCAGGCTTTTGAGTGTCCTTGCAAAGAAAGGTGGCTATATTGGTCACTGATTTGTTTTTGTTTTGTTTTTGAATGTCAGAAATGTATATTTGTGAATGTTGAGATGTTATATTGGTTTCACTGGTAATAATAAATAATTGAAATGGGTATATATTTGTTTTTTGTTAAGTTGCCTAATAATTATGCACAGTAATAGTCACCTGCACACACAGATATCCCCCTAACATAGCTATAACTAAAAACAAACTAAAAACTACTTCCAAAAATATTCAGCTTTGATATTAATGAGTTTTTTGGGTTCATTGAGAACATGGTTGTTGTTCAATAATAAAATTAATCCTCAAAAATACAACTTGCCTAATAATTCTGCACTCCCTGTACTATCAGAATACTTTATTTTCAGGACAGACAGGATGTATGAATATCTCTCCTTTCAAAGGTCTGATTCAACATCATGTGGCCATTTAAATTTTTATACTGTTATTCAAAATAAAAAAAATGTAAATTTTTTTTTTTTTTTTTAAACCGTTCCATTCCATTATTTAACCAGATTTCCAAAATTATGGCCAACAGAAAATTAACTTAAATGTACAGTTTAAAACTACATTAGGATGGTGTTTGTCTACAATGCCAACTGAAGTCCAGGTTGACTAGAATAATCTATAACCCTGTTATATAAGCTGTTCATAAAGTGTATATGATAAAAACACAAAAACACCCTGTTGAATTCTTCAAAGCCAATCAAATCCTTTGTACAAATAATTAAAATATCCAAGCTTACTCGGATGTGGATGAAATGTAATGCAAACAAAATCCCAAAAAGTCACAAGTTTGTCTTGTTTAACCTCCCAGGAGAGCTGCTCCAGTCTAATCTTACAAGCAACATGAAAACTTGTTACATGTTCATAAGTAAGAAAAGGACATTTTAAAATTAGTGATACTGTTCATCTTCTAAATTTATTTATAGCTATAAAAAAAACAAAAAAACAAAAAACAAAACCTTGTGACAAAATAACTAAAATCCCTGAGAGTCTCAATCTCAATTTGTAGGGGGATCAGTCACAGTCAGAGCTTATGAGTAAAAGACTTACATTTGTTTTAATATAAAATGTTTATAAATCCTGCTTCTCTCAAAGGGAGTTGGATGATGATTTTGAGAATTATAGACTATTGCACAGCTCCACAGAAAATACTAAAGATTATTAACCAAGCCTGATCTGATGAGAAAGCGGATTGAGGCAGCTTTGCTGTTAGATAATGGCTATTTCCGCAGCAGGCTGTCTGCAGAGTTTTGACCAGACAAGTCACATCACTGAAGCCCGTGGGATATTCCATCCATCTCTGGATATCAGATACCTGCGTTTCCTGTCAATTGCACCAGGCTAATTTTAGCTGCATGATGACATAAGTATGCATCAAAAAAGAATTGCCTATGAGTTTAGCACTCAGCTAGCATTCCAAGTATGCAACACAATCTAACTGCTAGATAGACAGTATGCTGTATGGGATCCTGCTTAATTAAATTTTAGACACCAAGCCCCTTTCTTACCCTTCGTAGTAGGGTTACGATACTTATTCTTTCAACCAATAAATAAAAAATAATAGCTTCCTGGGTTTGTTTTTTTTTGGTAAATCTAGATCTCTATATCTCTATATAACAAGAGAAACAGAGACAAAGAGAGACACCCTTTTGATCAGATAAGAATAAAAATCCCACAGGAAGCTGGCCAAGTTACAATTTGGGATCCTCTAAATTTATAAAAGATGGTGAATCAGGCCGAGCATCTTCATGACTCTGGCGTCCCCGTCTACCCGTTGGCCTAAGGAAACGGCCTTAGGTTGCCTAATGGTTAATCCGGCTATGCCTTTAGTACTGTTGGCATTAGGTGTGTAGATGGAGGATTCTCCCTAAATATGCACAAAAGATATTAACCCCTTAAGGACCAAACTTCTGGAATAAAAGGGAATCATGACATTTCACACGTCATGTGTCCTTAAGTGGTTAAATAAAAATCAATAATTAAAAAATAAAAAGTTACTCACTATCCCAAAACCCTGTTCACATTTAAATAACAGGAAGTTTTTTTAGTTTCACTCCATCAGAAAAGGGTTGTGTTTCAGTGGCTTCTTTCGCCCCATTACTTTCCTTTTATAGTCTGGTTCTTTAAATTTGAAGCCATGCCCCCAAAACTGTTGAATTCAGGCATTTTAGCGGGCCGTGACATCATCAGCGTCATGATGTCGGTGCGCACATGCCGCGTCACAAAAGGGGGCGGAGCCACAGCGGCTGGTGTTGGAACTGCTAGAGGAAAGTCTGGGTCTGCGGAGAGGATCCCTCTCCATCTGCTGACAGTCCCCAACGTGGGTAAGCATGACATTTCCTTGGTGATTGCCCCACGTTTAATACTTCAGACCACTTCTTAGCACAGAACACTTAAATATCCCACAAGATTTTTATTTCTCCTCTTCATCTACAATGTTCTCCATGGAGTTGTCTTGTCTGAACTCTATTATGTTACCATTTGCTAAAATCTTTATTACAGATTTAAAAATAATCATCTTTTGAAAAAAGGTAAATCAATCATAGGTGATTTTCTAGGTTTCACCCGATGGTCACAATTACCAAATAAGCAACAATTCCCGCTTAACAGACAACCAACTAGGACAGCTTACTTTTTCTGCTGTCATAATCGGTGTGTTTAATGATTTTTTTTAAAAGGGCATGATTGACCTGGGGCAAAGAAAACATTTTGTCCATTCTTCTCTCTACAGGTCGATTAGACTCTGCATGCCTAGTGGCACAGAGTACAGATAGTGACGCTTATTTAGTGAAATGTTACTACAAGCAACGCGTACCCAAGGATACAAAGATTAGACCACTCATCTGGGACGCAGCTGGTAAAAAATAAAAATGTTCAGCCAGAATTTCCTAGAAATATATCTAGACGCAATTTCCAGTTACACTGATACACACACTTTGTACATCACATTTCAGGACGGAGTTCAAAACACAGACAAAAGATTTTCTCATACAGGGTTATTTACTAGAGTGAGAATTCCAAATAAATTCAAAGTGAATTTCAACTGTAATGCCAAAGGGTTTTGCTATTTTGCATGAATATGGAACAATCATGCAGACAATGTATGCATGAGAGAATTAACCCAAATGGTGTTATATATATTCTCAGAACCGGCAATATATGTGTATATATTGTTTGACTTTTTTTTTTTTTTTATCATTTTTTACTCCTCAAAGATGGTTACTGGAGTGGGTAACTGGAGATATCTGGGCTTGCAGCAGTGGTGTCACTGGGGGGGCCCAAGAGACAGAACTCTCTCACCCCTGTATCTGATGGATAGGCAGCCTTCTCAACCACCATGGATCTGATTGTGCCACCCCCTCCCTGCAAGTTAAGATGAGAGGTGAATACTCTTTTTTGTAAACAATTTTTAAAGTAAAAATTGTAAAGCTCTTCACTGTCCCACTCTACACCCTCTGAACACGGTACACCCTCACAGACAGTGAATCCCCTACATACAGTACACTCCCACCAACACAGAGTACACCTTTGCCCCTCCCCCACACACACACACACACACATAACTACAGCTCCTTGATAAGCACACAATGCAACCCCAATACACATATACTCAATGCGGCCCCTAGATGCACACACTTTACAGGCCCTTTCAATGCACGCACGCGCACACATACACACACACACACACACACTTTCTCACACATTCACAAATTGCCATTTTTATTTTAATTTAAATCCACCCAGCCTTTGGGAGAGCAGAGTGAATCTTTCCCTGGCGTCCAGTGTGTTTCCGCTCAGTCTTCATGCAGTTTCTCTCTGCTCCTCTGCACTAAGGTTACAGCTCCCTCACGCGCCATCTACATGCTCCCCACCTCTGTTTCATGTGCGGCTTAGCAAAGGGCTGACAAATGCCAGGGCGAAATGTCTTGACCGACATTTGCAGAGCCGTGTGTGTATGTGTATATATTATATATATATATACATATATATATATATACACACACACATATATATATATACACACATATATATATATACATACATATACATATATATATACACACATACATATATATATATATACACACACATACACACACACATACACACGTTTTAGAACTGCCCCCCTTCTTTTGTCCCTGGCCCCTTATGTGCCCCCCCTCCCCTCCTTGCAGCCACGCACATCCATATCTGTATTTTTCTAGGGTTAATGAGCTTGGTCTTAAAGTGGCACTGCAACTTGTGGGGTACTTTTTTTGGAAAGTTTTTTTCCCCCCTGAAATATATGTTGGGTTGGTTTGCATGTTGCCTGCAAGTAAAATGAAATATAACATTTTACTAAATATTTTCCTTCTCGAGTTGCCACTTTCCAGTCTTCAACTCCTAGCCAACAGCTGTGCCAACTTTGAGCTCTTGCGCATGCTCACGAGTACAGCAAAGGAGCATGTGGAAGATTCCACAAGACTAAGTCTATACAGTTCTTTCAGATGAGATGCCATAATCATCTACAGCACATTGTAGAAATTGGCAGTTTCTATCAACTGCCATTATTTAAGAGGGACATTGGTGTGTGAGTGTATAACAGAGCTCCGCAGCAATAAATACTCACAGTAATGTTTCTTTAGACTACAATAAATGTGTATAGAAGTCAGTCTGTGTAAATAGGATACCTTGTTCTAAATTAGATTTTAATTGCATAAATATTAGTAAGTCATCTACACTATATCTGAGAGCAGCCCCGTCACAGCCCCATGCCCACTCACATCCCTTCAAATTAAAAAAACGAGTCCCTCTTTTAAATGTTGGAAGATAACACAGTGTGAAGATAAAAAGGCAGTTTGGCAGTTTTTAGGAGTATTTTATTGTACGCTTAGGCTAGTGACTGCCACACATTTTATTTCTGCACATAGAGTAGGATTAGTCTGTGTTGTCCTAAATTAGATTTTAGTAACACACAATAAAAAAATTTAAAAAAAAAGGCGTTATATATTTGCTAGCAGTAACATCAGCCCAACTGACAAATGTAAGAAATAAAGTTTGTCAAGTGCGGGTCCCTTCAAGTTCATCTGAGGATGTGATTCTAAAATAGATCTAAACATAACATATGAAATGTTATCTGGCATCTTGTTATTTGTAACCCCTTCACGACAAACGATTTGATAGAGAGAACTCTAATAATAGAGTATTAATGCTGTCAAGTGTGTTTAGAAAAAAACCCAAAAAAAAACAGTTTTGGCCCCAAGCACAAAATAAATAAACAAAAAACACATAACTAATTTAACTTGGGTTATTTTTAAACATTACAAATTCCAGCACTGGCAAGCCCATATAGTGCTACTAATAATAGCATTAAGTTGTTTTTTTCAAATTCTGAATGATCTAGAAATAGAAATTTAAATACTGCCTTTTCTGCCACAAACACTTGGGCTCTGTGTCTCTCTAGAGACACATTTACTTTGATCGTTTAGGAGTTGATTCACTAAAGACAGAGCAGTAGAAAATAGCCAAGGAAATCATACATTTAGACCAGGGGTATTCAAGCTGGTCCCTACCATCCACTAGTGGACGGTGGTGGGTTCTGCATTAAACGCCTGGTGGGCCTCGATGTCTGTGGGCCAATCTCCCCTGCCGACCCATGCAGAGCCAACCTTGCTGTAAGGAAAGATCACTGGCACTTGATTCCAGCAGAGGGAGGTAAGGGCCTGAAAGGCTCTGTGTTCCTCCCGCGAGCAGGCTGGTCCGAGTGTTGCTGTGTGTTCCCATGACAATGCTTGGATACAGTCATGGGCGTCCGCGGGGGGGGAGGAGAGGGGGGGGATTTTTCAGCTTGTGCTGCTATTTTTGGTTTGTGTGAGAATCCACTGCAATACCGAATGTTAGAAGGCAGGAAGCCACAGCTTATCCCTGCCTCTGCTCATGACTGAAACCGCAGGGGAGCAGCACAGAGGCAGCCTACAGATCAGGTAAGTGAGGGATGGGGGGCACTATTACCCCCCCTCACCATCATCCCCCCCCCACTACCCTCAGCATCACCCCCCCTCACCAATCACCCCCCCCCATCACCCTGGCATCACCACCTCACTACCCTCAGCATTACCCCCTTTCCATCACCCTCAACATCACCCCCACCACCCTCATCAGCCCCCCCCCTCCCACCATCCTCCCCCCTCACCATCACCCTCACCCACCCCCACCTCACTATCACACCCTCAACATCACCCTCCCCTCATTATCACCTCCCCTCCCCAACCCTCAGCATCACCCCTCACAGCCCTCAGCATCACCCCCTCACAGCCCTCAGCATCACCCCTCACAGCCTCAGCATCACCCCTCACAACCCCTCAGCATCACCCCCTCACAACCCTCCAGCAGCCCCTTTCACACCTCAGCATTACCCCCTCTCAGCGTCCCCTCAGCATTACCCCCTCACCATCACCCCCTTCCTCAGTAACACCACTCACTATCACCCCCACCACCCTCAGCATTACACCCCCCAGCATCACCCCCCCGACCACCCACAGCATTAGCCCCATCATTCCCTCCCTCAGCAGCATTACCCCCTCATCATCACCCCCCTCTTTAAGCAGCTACCCCATACACATAGGGTACCAGTGTAAAAATGCAAACATGCTCACAGAGACATACATTCACTCACACACACACACACACACACACACACACGGATACTCTGATTTTTTTTTCCCCCATTCTAAACATAAATCACATCCTTTCTTTACATGACTTTTCATCAATTAAAATGTATGGTCACAGACACTGAAAACCATTACAGAAAGGACCATCTTCACAGAAAAAAGGTCCCAGTGGATGTAAAACTAGTAAACCTTCCAGACTAGGCCGAGGAATTATTTGTGTCCATATTGACAAATTACTCTAGGTTAGAGTCCTATTATGATTTTTATGATATTTATATAGCGCCATCAAATTCTGCAGCGCTTTACAATGGGTGGACGAACAGACATGTAGTTGTAACCAGACAAGTTGGACACACAGGAACAGAGGGATTGAGGGCCCTGTTCAGTGAGCTTACATGCTAGAGGGAGTGGGGTAAAGTGACACAAAAAGCTAAGGATAGTATTAGACTAATGACAGTTGCAGTAGAGGAATCAGTCAGGAGCTATTAACAGTTTTATTGATACGCTTCTATGAAGAAGTGCGTTTTTAACGATTTTTTTGAAGGAGTGGAGACTGTGTGAGCATCTAACAGAGGAGAGAAGCGAGTTCCACAGGAACGGTGCAGCCCTCGAGAAATCATGAAGGCGAGCATCAGAGGTGGGAGTACGGACAGAAGATAGACGTAAGTCTTCAGCAGCTCGTAAGGGCCTAGATGGGACATATTTGTGTATAAGGGAGGATAGATAGGTGGGAGCAGCATTATGTAGAGATTTAAAGGCAAGAACCAGAATTTTAAACCGAGCTCTATATTTTATAGGAAGCCAATGTAGGGACTGACAGAAGGGTGAGGCATGGGAGGTACGGGCGGACAGGAAGATGAGCCTCGCTGCTGCAGTCATTATGGACTGTAACGGCACAAGTTGGGAGCACGTAAGATCACTGAGAAGCGGATTACAGTGGTCAAGGCGAGAAAGGACAGTGGAATGGACCAACACCTTAGTCGCATCTGGCATTAAGTAGGGGCGGATGCGCGCAATGTTTTTGAGATGGAAATGACAGGATTTGGAGATAGATTGAACAGGTCTTCCATAGTCTTCCAGGTCAACCAAGTCACCAAACCATCAGCCAAGTGACCACCAGGGACACCACATAATATAATTACCAGAATCACCTTCTTTGCACAAAGATCTGCCAATATTACCTCATTGCCAACTAAAATTACATAGACTACATAAAAACAAGCAGCTGGCCAACATGAAACCAAACCAGCTTTCTATTCTATTGCTGTTACCAAGAGTTCCTTGTTGTCCATTTTTCATACAAATTCTTAACATTCCACATGCATACAAAAAGATTGCATCCATTTGCTCAATAACCAATAATTCACTGTAATGAATCGGTAAATAAGTTAAAAGTTTTTAAAAAGTCTATTCTCGATGGGAGAAAATTAGTCTGGCGGTTAATGCAGGAAAATTGGTCCTTATTTGTATATCATGTGGATGATCAACATACAATAGACCACGTGGGACTTCACATCACTCCAACAGAAACATCTGACAGATTGTTTTGTCAGTGCTACCAGCGATAAATCACAGGAATTTTAGACAGGTCTTTGACATACACAAAGGGACTATAGTTACATACCTATATATGTATTTTATAGTGTTTTTACATAAGTTGCATTCTAACTTATAAAAACAAACAAAAAAAACACAACAACTTTAATGATTTGAACACTTTGTCTCATTTTTGTACTCTCTGAAGCATACATGGATGACACACAGTGTTATTGTAGGTGGAGTGTTTATGACTGCCGAATATTGCAATCAAAGACATGTGCCTATTCTGATCCACCTCTTCCATTCTCAAAATACTCCCTTCTTGCTGCATATTATACCTGTTAGTATGCACAGTAAGTGTCGGAGAATTGTCAATCAGCCAACAGTGTTCAATAAGTAGAAAGCGGATGACTAACCTATAAATAAACTCCCTGTTCTGGGCATAACTGTTGTTGTGCATATGAGAGCTATTCAGCACCTCATCATACCTTCCAATTGCCCTTATTTAGGAGGGACAATCCCTATTTTGGGACCAAATCTCTGTCCCTCGTGTACCTCCTCTCCACAGCAATAATACTCCCAGTGAGGTTTAGACTACAATAAAGGAGCCTAGAAACCAGTCTGCAAATAACATACATCGTTATAAGTACAGTTGCAAGAAAAAGTATGTGAACCCTTTGGAATGATATGGATTTCTGCACAAATTGGTCATAAAATGTGATCTGATCATCATCTAAGTCACAACAATAGACAATCACAGTCTGCTTAAACTAATAACACACAAAGAATGAAATGTTGCCATGTTTTTATTGAACACACCATGTAAACATTCACAGTGCAGGTGGAAAAAGTATGTGAACCCCTAGACTAATGACATCTCCAAGAGCTAATTGGAGTGAGATGTCAGCCAACTGGAGTCCAATCAATGAGATGAGATTGGAGGTGTTGGTTACAGCTGCCCTGCCCTATAAAAAACACACACCAGTTCTGGGTTTGCTTTTCACAAGAAGCATTGCCTGATGTGAATGATGCCTCGCACAAAAGAGCTCTCAGAAGACCTACGATTAAGAATTGTTGACTTGCATAAAGCTGGAAAGGGTTATAAAAGTATCTCCAAAAGCCTTGCTGTTCATCAGTCCATGGTAAGACAAATTGTCTATAAATGGAGAAAGTTCAGCACTGCTGCTACTCTCCCTAGGAGTGGCCGTCCTGTAAAGATGACTGCAAGAGCACAGCGCAGACTGCTCAATGAGGTGAAGAAGAATCATAGTGTCAGCTAAAGACTTACAAAAGTCACTGGCAAATGCTAACATCCCTGTTAGCGAATCTACAATACGTAAAACACTAAACAAGAATGGATTTCATGGGAGGATACCACAGAGGAAGCCACTGCTGTCCAAACAAAACATTGCTGCACGTTTACAGTTTGCACAAGAGCACATGGATGTTCCACAGCAGTACTGGCAAAATATTCTGCGGACAGATGAAACCAAAGTTGAGTTGTTTGAAAGAAACACACAACACTATGTGTGGCGAAAAAAAAGGCACAGCACACCAACACCACCACCTCATCCCAACTGTGAAGTATGGTGGTGGGGGCATCATGGTTTGGGGCTGCTTTGCTGCATCAGGGCCTAGCCGGTTGCTATAGTCGAAGGAAAAATGAATTCCCAAGTTTATCAAGACATTTTGATAATGAACGTAAGGCCATCTGTCTACCAGCTGAAGCTCAACAGAAGATGGGTGTTGCAACAGGACAATGACCCAAAGCATAGAAGTAAATCAACAACAGAATGGCTTAAACAGAAAAAAATACGCCTTCTGAAGTGGCCCAGTCAGAGTCCTGACCTCAACCCAATTGAGATGCTGTGGCATGACCTCAAGATAGCGAGTCACACCAGACATCCCAAGAATACTGCGGAACTGAAACAGTTCTGTAAAGAGGAATGGTCAAGAATTACTCCTGACCGTTATGCACGTCTGATCTGCAACTACAGGAAACATTTGGTTGAAGTTATTGCTGCCAAAGGAGGTTCAACCAGTTATTAAATCCAAGGGTTCACATACTTTTTCCACCTGCACTGTGAATGTTTACATGGTGTGTTCAATAAAAACATGGCAACATTTCATGCTTTGTGTGTTATTAGTTTAAGCAGACTGTGATTGTCTATTGTTGTGACTTAGATGATGATCAGATCACATTTTATGACCAATTTGTGCAGAAATCCATATCATTCCAAAGGGTTCACATACTTTTTCTTGCAACTGTAAGTTAACTAAATATCTGAGAACATCCCTTCAAACTAAAGTGTCCCTCTTTTTAAATGTTGGAAGATAACAGTGTGAAGATAAATATCCAGTTTGGCAGTTTCAGGAGTATTTTATTGTATGCTTAAGCTAGTGATAGACACATAGTTAAACAGCTAGTGCAGTCGGCATTTCAAAATTGTTCATTTATGGTTTAAAAAACACATCTGACAGTATGTTTAATACCAGAATACCACATTGGCTAAAAATTATTTGCACAAAAAGAAAGAACATTTTAAGGTTTACGTTTTATCTTTTGGATTGGTCGATTGATTCTGCATACATTATTTAGGCAATGCAGTGGATCATTACTGTCAGGAGTGCCCCTTTGATGATGTGCATCATCTGTTGTGCAGCCAATTGAACTTTATTTTTTTTTATTTTTTTTAACTAAAGTAGGTCTCCTTTTAATTTATATAGTACAACCTTTATAAGCATCTTAAAGGGGGGGGGAGTATTGTTAAAGCTGCTATTTTTATCCATATATACCTACGGATCAGAAACAGATGCAACGCAGAAATAAAAGCAGGGTTGTTTTTTTTTTTACCATAATTGTATATGCAAAACTGCTTTTTATAAAAAACAAAAAAAAAAACAAAAAAAAAACACCCACATCAACAAAAACCAGAAAACAAAAGACAAATTTTTACATGTAAATAATTTACTCTAATGGATTGACATGTTCCAAGTATTACGTCTAGCTAACAGTAAATATTATTTATGTAGTTCAGGGATGAATATTAGGGCCACTGACTCCCACTACCAGTTTAGGGTACACAAAGTGCTTCAGTGAACGGTTAGCATTTAAATGTACATAGATTTTCCATCTCACTTTCATGGTTTCAGATGGGTTTTACTTGCAATGTCTGTTGAGAGGTTACATGCTGGTATCATTTGCCAGCATTTGAACCAAAAATAGAGGATGTAAATGAGGAGTGCTGTCTAAACTGGGAAAGTAATAGTTTGTCTCGGGTACTCGGGTGGCCAGTAATAAACTCGGTTACCGATAGTGTTTGCAGACATACTCTGTGTAAACGGATCTGTCGAGAAGGTGGAGCTGCCTCATTGCCAAGCTGTCTGGTACCTGGATAAATGATGCAGAAGGGAAGGATATAGTTTGTTAAATACCCAGTCATTGTTATATCACAGGCATTAAGCAGATTATATGGTTTGGTCTTCCTCAGAACCAAGCCTTGCTGACTATCGGAATGAACTGGATGGATAACAATTTAAATTCTCGATAGATGCAGCCTTTATCATTTCCCCCTTTAGAGAATAAAGAGTTTTTTTTTTTACAAAGGGCATTTCAGCATTCATATAGCACATGCAGTTGAAATTTAAAAGAGTAGGGAAATTTAAAATAATTGGCTACATGTTTTATAGTAGGTCTTAGAAGTAAAAAATAAATTTAAAAAAAAGCTAGCATCCCATAGGCATTGCTACATGTGAATTTTTGAAGACTGAAGCCTCAGATGTGCTGCTTAGTAGCCCAATAGATCTACAGCTGGTGGTGGGGACAGGAGTATATTTGTATATCTCCTCCCCCCCCCAAAGTTTAATTTTACACCAGACAGCCACTACAAAAAGAAAGATCCATAATATATATAGTTCTGCCAGTCTACCTGGTGGGAGGGAATGCTGGATCACAGGACTTTGCTGCACCACCCCTCTATAAATTCTATGACATTTCAGGATTACATTAAATTCCTAGCTGTACAGCATGTGCTTCTTCTGGCTAGGTTTCACTGAAATTGCAGCAAGCATCAGGAGCATGCTGTTCATGGATAGGGAACAGGGGACAGAACACAGAAAAGACACCTGTCTGCAAGTGTATGGTTCTCCAGTCTTTCATTTGGGCCTCTCAGACTGGACAGGAATAGGATCCCTTCCAATACACCCTTATAGTGGTATTCAGCAGGACTGTATGTAATAATGGGGGTCACAACGGAATGTGAAATGATAGAATTAAATAATATAGTATAGATAGAATACATTGTCTCATTATGCGTATTTTATTTACTTTTTAATTCTTTATTTTGTTGGAAAGATGTTTTGATGTAATGTTTTAAATACAGACATTTAATTTTTCATTGGAGTGGTTTGACCGTGCCTGGCTGAGTCTCATGGTGTGGCTAGGCCTGCTATCTCCACCGACGCATTTCAGGAAGCTGATTGGGAGTTAAGTTGTTTTTTTTTTCCACACTGAAGGTCTATGATGGCTTATGGATTATCAGATGAACTCAAACTAAAAAACGCACGTCGGGCTTTCAGGTTTCATTTATTAATATCATTATGGGTAGCACGGCAGAGCACAGGAGAAAATCTTTAAAGTGTTACCTAAAGTAAATTATAAAAAGCAAACATGCTCACTGAAATACCCTGCTATCTAGATTGATCTTAGCTAGAAATGGCGCAAATGTAGAAAGCCAAAAAACAACCTTTTGCTTTTTAAAAAAAAATAAAATAAATCAATACTGCATTAAGATGGCATCAGTGTTGTTAACATTTCGATAGTTCAAATAAATCAAACATTTCTTGACCATCTTTACAATGTCTCTTAAATCACACATGCATTGATTTTTATATGCTACATGTTCTTGGACTACAGTTCCACTCCATCTAGGTCATCAAAACCCATCACATTCATCCGGATGATAAATTCGGCTACCATTTGGCTGTAATGTACATGATCTTGACTGACTTGCTTGGATGGCTATTAAATTACCAATGGCCCAGCCACTTCTAACGGAACCATAAGATGATATTTTTGTTTGACGCAGCTACTCATTTCTCCCCTCCTAACATGACAGGTAAGCCGTCATTTTCTTTTACAATACTTTCATATTGCTTTTGCATAGAAGATTAATTTCTATGCAAATACATTGAACTTCTAAGTGGATCTTCTTTAACCCCTTAAGGACCGGCCTGTTTTTGCGATGTTGTACATTAAAGGACCACTCTAGGCACTCTAGCTTAATGAAGTGGTCTGGGTGCCTGGTCCAGCTAGGGTTAACCCATTTTTTCATAATTATAGCAGTTTCAGAGAAACTGCTATAATTATGAATGGGTTAAGCCTTCCCCCTAATCCTCTAGTGGCTGTCTCATTGACAGCCACTAGAGGCGCTTGCGTGCTTCTCACTGTGATTGTAAATGCTTTTCTATGCGACGGGCTGAATGGGCGCGCGCAGCTCTTGCCGCGCGTGCGCATTCAGCCGACGGGGAGGATCGGAGGCGGAGAGCTCCCCGCCCAGCGCTGGAAAAAGGTAAGTTATTACCCCTTTCCCCCTTCCAGAGGCGGGCGGGAGGGGGTTTACTCTCTCTCATTTACGGTTCCCATACAAGTTATAGTTTTTTTCCAGGACAAGAAGGGCTTTCTTTACATACCATTATTTGTATCAGGTCATATTTTATTTGTAAAAAAAAAATAAAACATGGTGAAATATTGAAAAAAAAAAATACATGTTTTTGGACTTTTACTTGAAAAATCTTTTACTTAGCTACAAAAACTAATAATAAAAAAACTGCTAAATAGATTCAAAATTTTGTCCCAAGTTTAAAAAACACCCAGTTTTTACATGCTTTATTGCAAGTTATAGGCCTATAAATACAAGTAGGAAATTGCAGTTTCAATATATATATATATATATATATTTTTTTTTTATTTAATAGTAACATTGTAACACCATTATCTGTCATAAATCCCCGAATCACACCTCACATGTACATTATTTATATTTTTTTAAGTAGACAACCCAGGATATTCAATATAGGGTATGTCCAGTCTTTTTAATAGCCACCTAGTCACAAACACTGGCCAAAATTAGCATTTATATTTGTTTGTGTGTTAAAAACGCAAAAAACGCTAACTTTGGCCAGTGTTTGTGACTAAGTGGCTACTAAAAAAAGGCTGAACATACCCCATTTGCAATACCTTGGGTTGTTGTCTTTTGCAAATGGTATGCCATCATGGGGGTAATTCTCATTCCTGGGCTACCATACACTTTCAAAGGCAACATAACCAATCTGACAAATTTCAAGAATCAAAAAAAAAAAAAAAGTAAAATCAAGCCTTATATTTGACCCTGTAACTTTCACAAACACCATAAAACCTTTACATGTGGGGTACTGTTATACTCAGGAGACTTTGCTGAACACAAATATTAGTGTATCAGAACAGTAAAATGTATCACAGCAATAATATCATCAGTGAAAGTGCTGTTTGTGTGTGAAAAATGCAAAAAAGTCAATTTCACTGACAATATTATCGCTGTGATAGGTTTTACTGTTTTGAATCACTAATATTTGTGTTCAGCAAAGTCTCCCGAGTAAAACAGTACCCCCATGTACAGGTTTTAGGGTGTCATAGAAAGTTACAGGGTTAAACACAGTGCTAGTAAATTAAATTCTCTGGACTTTCGGCCTGGGTTGTCAGGCATGTCCCTCAAATTGCAATCGTTAAAATTACTTAATTAGGTAAAAATATCACATAAATATGCACGTAGAATTTTAATATATATACATATTGATAGATTTGACGTCTACGTGTATATTTACGAAATTATTTATGTAATTAAGTATATGGACATATATTTCATATATATATATATATCTCATTACATTCTAAGTGTATTTAGATATAAATATATATTAATATCATACTGTTAGAATAAATTAACATATTTGTATTTTATAATATATATATATATATATATATATACACATACACATACATACGTACACACATACGTACACACACATACATACACACACACACACACACGTGTGTAATTTAATTATACGTGTATTTTTATATTCATATAAAAATACACTTAGTATGACATTATATACACACACACACACACTTTTTTTTTTTTACATGGATTGTTTTTTAAAAAAACTTTTTTTATTTTTATTTTGCAGGGAGACTGCCTGTCAGCACAGACAGCCCACCTTGCAGGCAGATACACAGGCACCTATTGCGGTCACGTGATCGAGCGATCACGTGGCCGCGGGGTCCTGATTGCCGCCGGGGGACAGACGGCGATCAGGTTAGTATGCCCAGATGGTCATGACGGTTCAGGACCGTCATCGGTCCCCAAGGGGATTTTTCCGATGACGGTCCTGAACAGTCGTCAAGGGGTTAAACCTACGAATACAAACTATAAAGCACTATAGCTGTCCTTTCTCTGACAAGCTCATTAGAAATTGCTGTAAAGATTAGGAATCGACAGATATTGATTTTTTTTTAGAGCAGATACCAATAATCTGTGAACTTTTAGGCAGATAGCCGATAACTTACTGATATTCTGTACATTTACCATTTTGAAAAAAACTAAACTTTCTAAAAGGTAAATGCACATAATATACATGCCACATGTAGTGGATGCAGTGTGTTTAGACAGGGGAGCTGTACGTGTAGTAGATGTAGTGTGTATATAATGAATGCAGAGTGTGTGTGTGTGTGTGTGTATATAACATAAATGCAGAGTGTGTGTCTGTACATACATACATACATATATATATATATATATATATGTGTGCTTGTGTATATAATGAATGCAGAACGTGTGTGTGTGTATATATATATATATATATATATATATATATATAATGAATGCAGAGTGTGTGTGTGTATAGTGAATGCGCAGAGTGTGTGTGTGTGTGTGTGTGTGTGTGTGTGTGTGTGTGTCTGTAGGTATGTAATTTGTGTAAAATGGGGGGGCATTTTTTATTAATTTTTTTTTTTTTTAAATATAAAAAAAAAAAAAGTCCCACCTCCCTGCTTGTTACCTGGCCAGGGAGAGGGGGATATAGCACTTGCTGGTGGTCTGGTGGCATGGACTGTGCAGTAGGGGCCAAGCAAGCTCTTACTTCCCTTCCTATCAGCTGCCTATAGCTCCCCTGTGTAAATCTCGCGGCCTGTGTGTCGCGCGTTGCGTTGCCATGGTAACCTGTGGCAACGCTCTGACGGCTGCGGGACTAGCAAGATTTACACAGGGGAGCTGCTGGGAAGATAAGCAAGAGCTTGCTGGGTCATCCAGGCTGGTCATGGGCCCGGCGGTCCTGGTATGTATCTTTATTGGCAAATATCGATATTGCAGAATATTGGCCAGACCGATAATCGGTCAATCCGTAGTAAAGATACATACCTCCCAAGTGTCCCTATTTAGGAGGCACAGTCCTTATTCTTGTCCAAAATCCCTCTGTTGCGCTTTACGATGGGCTCTATATTGTTGGTGTGTCTGCGTGTAAGACAAAGATCCACAGCAATAATGCTCACAATAATGTGTCTTTAATCTACAATAAAGAAGTTTATAAGGAAGTCTGCATAAATTATAGATTTGGTTCTTGTTCTAAATTACATTTGCATACATTTCAGAAAAGCCTTGCCACTAGCCACACCCCAACAATTAAAGTGTCCCTCTTTGTCCATTTGAAATGTTGGGAGGTGTCAAGACACAACTACCAATCCCAAAACAAACAAAATAACCACTCTTTCAAAACGACAGTGTCTGCATAGAGTTTAATGGATTCCAAGGGTTTAATGGATTAAAGTTTTTGTGTACGTTTTGTTTTGATCACAATGTGTACATTTGGCTCAGTCCTTAAGGGGTTAACCCACCATTTAGGTGGCTTCCCCCCTTAGCCCTTATTTCCAGCGCCGCTTGGGTCCACTATCTTTGCCCCATTTGTGACATCAAAATGGCTGGTTTTTAGCCAATCCAATATTTTCCCATAGGAAAAGCATTATATTGACTAAAATCAGCACGGGGTGGGCCAAATGCCGTTTTGGCCAATCAGGACCTCCTCAGAGCTGCATTGAATCAATACACCTCTATGAGGAAAATTTAGTGTCTCCATGCAGAGCATGGGGACGTTGTATGTCAGTGCTGCTTTTCAGCAGCACTGCCCAAGGAAGCACCTCCAGTGGCCATGTAAGTAGTGGCTACTTTGAGGTGTCCCTAGAGGCAATGTAAACACTGCCTTTTCTCTGAAAAAGGCAGTGTTTACATGAAAAAAGTCTGAAGGGAACTATTGTACTCACCGGAACTACTACATTAAGCTGTAGTTGTTCTGGTGACTATATTGTCCCTTTAACTTGTAGCTATTGGCTGTATGTTGACTAGATTCATTATAATCCATTTTCTGCAGTGGCAATACAAAAAAAATAAAAACAAAACTGCATTACTATCACGTTAATGGGATTTGGTGGCAATTATATCACTATATTGGACACACGCGCTGCCTAAAATTGTGTAGATCCCTCTCGAGCTGCCAAAACAGCATGGATGCATCAAGACATGGACTCCATAAGACCTCTGAAAGTGTCCTTTAGTATCTGGCACCAAAGCATTAGCAGAATGTTTTTATCTCCTGCAAGTTGTGGTGTGATGTCTCCGTGGATTGGATATGTTCTTCCATCACAGATTGAGATCTGGGGAATTTGGAGGCCTAGGCAACACTTTTAAAATGTTGTCATGCTCCTCAAACAATTTCTGAACAATATTTACTGTGTGGCATTGTGCACAGTCCTGCTGAAAGAGGTCACTGCTATCAGCGAACACCAATAACATGAAGGGGTGTACGTGGTCTCAACAATCTCTACAAAGGTGGTATGTGTCGAAGTAACATCCACGTGAATGCCAGGACCCAAGGTTTCCCAGAGCATAACACTTCTTCTGCTGGCCTGCCTTCTTCCCATAATGCATCCTGTTGCTATCTCTTCCCCAGGTAGACGACACACATGCACCCAGCCATCCACCTGATCAAAAAATAATAAGATTCAGACTAACAAACTTTCTTTCATTGCTCCATGGGTCAGTTCTGGTGCTCACGTCCCTTTGAAAGCACTCATTGATGGACAGGGGACATCATGGTCACTAACCTGTCTGCGGCTACGCAACCCCATATGTAGAAAAACTGATGCACTTTGTGTTCGACACCTTTCTATCATAGCTAAAATTTGATCTAAAGTAGCTTTTCTGTGTGATTTGCTCACCACGTGCATTAACAAGCCTTGGGCATCCATGACCCTGACACCGTTTAAGCCTTAACTCTTCCACCTTTGGTAGGTACCAACCACTGCATACCAAAAACAACCCACAAGACTTTGGAGATGCTCTGACCCAGTCATCTAGCCATCACAATTTGTCCCTGGTCAAAGTTACTCAGATCTTTTTGCTTGCATAGTCTTCCTACCCAATATCTCTCACCACTGTAAAAAAATAAATTAAAAAAAAATAAAAAATTCAGTTATTAATTTCGTCAGTGGCTTTAATGTGGTGGCAGAGATTCATTTTAAGTCTGCCGGCAGATTTCAAACTGCACGACAGGACTAGGCATTAGGGCCATGCACGGAGCACGTTGGCAATGCTCTGTGCATAGTCTGAAGGAAGGGGCGGGCTGACTACCTGCCAGCTCTCTTCTGAAAAAAAAAAAAAAGGCATAAATAAATGCATGCGTTCATTAGGAATATATCTACTAAAAACAGTGTGTATATAATTTGGTCATTGGAGTGTCCCTTTAATGACAGATATCCTATCCTCCCCAGCATTACACGGGAACTGCAAGATATACCTCCTACTTACCTGTATACGCTCATCTTCTCTACTCAGGGAATTAGACTTGGGATTGGTTGAATTCCCTTGTGTTGCTTGAGGCTGCTTACTGGTAACAAAAGAATTGGTCTGAATTTAACAGTGTTCTTGCACGCAGAGCTGCTTCAGTTTCCCTCTGGTGCTTTTGTTTTTCATTCAGATGCCATTAGCATTTATTTTGCTCTGCACAGAATCTTATTGCATGTATGAGGGGACATTTACCAATAGTTTAGGGGTAAGCAACATTCGGCACTCCAGATATTATGGACTACATCTTGAACAATGTTCTTCTAGCCTTAACGCTGGTAAAGCATCAAGGGAAATGTAGTCCATCTCTGCAATGGTTTTTATGTAGGTCACCCCAGTAAATATGCTTTCCTGTATTCAGGATAATTTTACTTTATGTATTTTGTTCACAGTAACATCCATATGATTTCTAGATCCTATATGATCTAGTTTTCAAGACTCCATAACTGCAGTATATTTAAAAATGAGCACTCCGAGCATCACAATAACCTATGCTTCTTACAGAGGTTATAGTATAAGGAGTTTGCCCTGTGCTTGTCTCACTGGACCCACTGGTTTTTAATTGCAGCAAGTTGAAGGAAGAAAAAACAAACAAACAAAAAAAAACAAAAACAAAAAAAACACACCACCACCCACAATAAATAAATAAATCATCCAGTAAAGGAACTTGATTTGTGGGCGAACAGATACAATGCGTGGTTTGTGTGTCAGCTTTATTCACAAAACATTTGTATAACTCTACCAACGATTGTGTTTATTTTGCAAAGTTTGGAGGTTCCCCTTACATTTGTAAAGGAATGTGGCGTATCGCAAAAGGAACTGTATAGGAAAATCAAAAAACGCATCACGCCCCCCATCCCCCAAATAGTAAATGTAATTTGCCCCTGCATTTCAGCCAGACTGTCCACCAATGGCCATGCTCCAGTAATTCTCTAGGACAATCAGTAATGACACGCCCACAAGGTCTGTCTGAGAAGTACTCATCCTAAGTTACATTACAAATACAGCATTCAGACACTAAAGCTTACATACCGCATCACACACAAACATTTCCTCACCAGATTAGTTATCATATAGTGTCATATGTTTATAATAAACAAACATAAAGCAACAAACTCATAAATACCTGTAGAGCTTTGTGTTCTCTCTTTATCCATCTATAACTCTCTCTCTCTCTATGTCTATATCTATCTAGGGATGTCGGCTGACAAGAACTGGCAGAGAAGCGGTTAACAGTGGGAAATGAGGTTGGCTGGCAGAGAAGGGGTTAACAGTGGGAAATGAGGTTGGCTGGCAGAGAAGGGGTCAATGGTGGGTAGTGAGGTTGACTGACAGGAACTGGCTCGGTCGCCAGGCAATCTAATCAGTCTGTAAGGATTAATGCGAATTAAGCATTTCAGTACGGATATTGTTCACTTTTCAGTTTACTTGAATTAGTGCGTTGGTGTTCCACCTGCTTTGTGGTATTTTTTTTTCCCTTGGATATGGACCATGCTTGGCAGATCCACCATGTTTTCCTGAAGACATAACTTCATTTTACTGGACAATACATGAAAAAAAAAAAAAATACCCAAACTATCCCAGAACTATACAAGTCGAAATCTGTATTAACGCAAATGAAAGCTAAACAAAATAGCATAGAATGACTGAAATAGAAAACCATGTTAAATAACGGAAACACACAAAATAAAAAGATGTACATCGAGCTGTATTCCTGATATTTGTAAAGGACAGATCTTCAAATGTTATTGAAAATGTTATTTAGACTTATAAAAACACTGCAGGAAGAAGGATAAAATGAACAAATAAAAATGAGCATTTATGATTCATGGTCGACTATTACCAACGATAAAGTGATATAGAAGTATCATTGGCACAATGGTGACAAATATATAGCATTTCTTGATGCAGTCATCCGCTGTGGAATAAAAACGGTTTGTAATTGGCTGACTTGCCCCTTCCAATAACTTAGCTTTTGTGGTCCCAGGACAATGGAAATAAATTAGCTCTGCAAATGAATCAGAAGTGCCTTCTGCAGAGATTGAGTTCTTTGCGCCTCAATAGGCACACGTCAAGGTTCGTTTCTCGGCTTACATAATGCAAGCTGAGCCTTTCCCCCCCAGCCCTGCAACTATTACTATTTCTCACTGCATCTGTCTCATTTGCCTAGAGTTGGCATGAAATATTGGCAAGCAATTTGTGTCAAGGCTGTATCTACCAGCATTGTGGTCCGAGGCTCGGCGCTCATTAACCCATTTTCTATTCAACTAGCACAATAAAAAAAAAAAAAAAATTATATTAAAATATATATATTTTTTTTTCTTCACTCACAAGAGAGAATGATACAGAAAATGATAGCGTTAAATACTGAATTTACGCTTTTAGCACATCCAATTCAAATTAAGACTAATTGAAATAAAATGAAGAAAAAAAAATAAATAAGTATAAATGGATTGCAGGTGCATCCACAAAATATAAAAAAATCACTTTCCTGGTATTTTTTGTTTTTTGGTCATTCATATTGTTGACAGGGTTTACTACATGAGATCACACAAAAGGTTTTCTGAAAAACAGTGACTCAGATGGTGTTGTGACTGCAAAAAAAAAATAAAAAAAAAAAAAAATAAGTCATGAATTTGAATGATTTACACAGTACTTCCCACCATTTAACAGTTGGTACAAATTTGATTACAATCCAAAAACAGGTCCTCAAAACGGATGCACATTAAACAAAAGAAAGCTTACCCAAATAATAATAATAAAAAATAAATAAAAAAAAAATACAAAAATAAAAAAAGTCCAGAATGGCCATGAACATAAAATAGGTTTAGATTTAAGATTTGGAGATGTAAATGACACTTTACTCTATAACCACAGCTTATTGTAGTGGTTATGGTGCAAGGAGTCTTTAGGTAGAATCCTTAAGGCTTAGGTCAAACCATCTGAGCGGTTTGACAAGAACCGAGGCACTTAAAGCCCATATCTTTTACGGACAATAAAGGGCTAGATTTAATATTTTTGAATGAATGTTTAACATTTTTATTTTTAAACAATAGGATAAATATAATAAAAATCATTTGAAAAGCTTATCCAAAAATATTAAAACCTCTTGTGAGTGCACGGTTCAGGAATAAATAAAAGGAGTTCTAGCACTAGAAAAATACGCTGAAGTGCTTACAGGGTCTTTTTAAGACTGCACATTGCTTCATTCTTCCCTAGGCAAAATAATAACCATTGGACAAGCTCTTATCCTAGTTTCTGTGAAGGACCACCACTGACTCCGTTTCAGACACGCTCCTCCATAATTATTTGGCAGAGGCGGAGGAGGCATCCTAGTCCCATTCTGAGCCAGGACTCAGACCAGTGGTGGCCTGTTTATTGGCCTACATATATGGGACCCAGCAATTCATCCAGCTGCCTAGGATCCATCTACTGTAACCACACTTCTCTATGTGGACCAGGAAGAAGCCAGAGACTTAACCGAGCACAGTGGATTCAGTAAAGTAGGTCGGACACTTTGGGACCTTTAACCAAGTGTCAATATGAGATGAGCTTTCTTTTTCTTGCTTTTGAAGATGCCCCTTTAAATTGCTCATTACTGGATTGGTTTAAGGATACAGATCCTCTGGTAGAAACAGGTTCTCTTCTTTCAATATCGAATGGCATACTGTTACCATGGATCCAATGGATTAGTAGGTTTAGGTTATGTCTCTCCCCCAAAAACAAGTTTAGGTGCATAAGCATATGTATAAAATGATAGAGAGATATATATATATATATATATATATATATATATATATATATATATATATATATATATATATATATATATATATATATATATATATATATATACACACACACACACATATATACATACACACACACATACACACACTACCAGTCAATACCACATATAAACTACCCGAAAACAGAATAATCCTCTCCGTACCCAAGGAAACTACAAAACATAAGTGCATACTTCCCATTAAAGGACTGATATTTTGTGTAATATATAACAAGAAGTGATACAGTTAAACTCTCAGTGCCATCTCATGCAGAATGTTGGACAGAGACCCTGATGTGACTTCCAAGCGAATAATTTCCAGTTAGTGAGAATGTGACATCATGCTTTTTCTGCATTCCAGAATAATAAGAATAGCACAAAGCCCCCCCACACCCCCTCCCCTCAAAAAAAATAAACCACTCTGAGCATTTCATAAAGATAAAATCACTGTAGAAGTCAACATAAGGTACTGCACACACCATACAAGAGAGAAATTCTATAATGCCTTAGAGACTAGGAAGTTTACAAACTTCAAAGAAGTTATATATACACACACATGAAAAGAAATAATAAAGTGTGCTAGCACACACAGATTCGTTCCCAATAGAAGACTTTTATTGGAGCACTGGCAATGTCTCTGCTCACATGCAGAGCTTTTCTCCAGTCAAGTGGCCGCAAAGGACAGGTTCAATTAATTAAAACTCACCTTACCTTGCATCCTACACCCACCTCGCTGCAAGGGTCAGAGTCAGCATCTGGGGACTTTGCAAAACATGTAAACACCACACTTTCTCCCCCCTCCGCATTTGACAAAAAGGGCAGCTTGTAATACAAATGGTCATTTTTTATAAAATTAACTTTGGTATATCCCCTGGCTGTCAGACAATCAGTCCTGTTACTTCCTGGTTTGTTTAGCTCAGGGGAGCTAAACTTAAGGTGAAGCAATTGCTCAGAGCACCTGCCTTGCAAATACTTCTCATTGAGCTGCATTGGGAAGTCTGTGATTGGACAGCCACAGAAAGTCTGAGCAGGGTTAGAAATGGAAGGATTGCAAAGGCAGCAGGCAAGAGATCAGCAACTTTATTTAGCAAACGGTTTTTAGATACATCTCCCATGGAAAAATGCATAATTAAATGAGCACAATAGGGTCAGGAACACAAACCTGTATTCCTGACCCTATAGGGTTAAAACAACTATCTAGCCCCCTTGGCCCCATAAAGATAGTAACATCTTATTTGTATTCAAGTCTAAAGCTGCTGCCTCTGAACTTCCTCTGGCATCATCAGAAGTGGTGGCCTGATCCAATCACAATGCTTCCCCATAGGATTGGCTGAGACTGACAAGGAGGCAGATCAGGGGCAGAGCCAGCACAATTCAAACACAGCCCTGGCCAATCAGCATCTTCTCAGAGATGAATTGAATCAATGAATCTCTATGAGGAAAGTTCAGTGTCTGCATGCAGAGGGAGGAGACACTGAATGTTTGGATGCATTTTAGGCAGCCATGACCCAGGAAGGATCTCCAACAGCTATCCGAGGAGTGGTCAGTGAAGTTATCACTAGGCTGTAATGTAAACACTGCATTTGCAAAAAAAAAAGTGTTTACAGCAAAAAGCCTGAAGGTAATGATTCTACTCACCAGAACAAATGCAATAAGGTGTAGTTATTCTGGTGACTATAGTGTCCCTTTAAAATGCATGAATTTTTTTCATTTGCGGTATATCCACTAAACAATGTTTTTTGTATTTGGGTAGTAGAGTGATTATGGTTTAATTAGCATCTCATTCATTTGAATATGAAAGGACTCCATAGTATTATATAACCCATAACTTATCATTTAAACTGCAGCTGAGAGGCTCCGTCCATGCTTTCCGGAACCCAATCTAAAAATCTTTGCCTGATAGGAATTGGCTTTAATATGTAGAATGTAAATACCGGTATATAATCATCCATTTGATAATATTTTTGTTTAGTTTTATTTTACACCCGGAAATGAAATGGAGTGATCAACATTTCCTACCTGTATTGATATTAGGTTTATGGCTGAGCGCCTGTATGTTATACAAGTATAAAGATATACCGGCAAAAATAAATATTTAAAATGCATGCAAGTTTTCACTGGGGTTAGATCTAGTGAACAGTGATGTTTTACTTTTATTTTGGCAGTGGAGTGTATTTGCGGTCATATTGTCACTTCAACTAAACCAGATATTGGGAGAAGCCAGTCCCTGCAGGAGACACCATCTAACCAAAAATGAGGTAAGTGTATTAACTCCACTTACTACTAGATACTTCAATACCTAACAATGGGTATTTAACTATTGACAGCTGTTTAATTAAGATATTACACGGCAATATTTCTAAAAGAAAGAGGTTGGTTGATATCACGTTTTGTGAGGGTTTTTTAAAAATAATTTTTCTTAGCTTGTTAAAGTACTCTGTCTGAACAGAATTTTTTTTTTTTTTTTTTTTTTTAAATAAGACCCGTTTCAACAGCAGGCTAGCCAGTAAGTAGTGTTTAAAGACGAGTCTATAATGCATTCCGAGATACATATGCTGGTTTTATCCTCCTTCTAGAGAAAGTCGAACCGAAGTTCAAAATAGAAACTCTTACAGCTGTAACACTGGTACTTTTGTAGAAAGCAGGCCAACAGTCTCCTTTTGGGAAAATAAAAATATCATTTGTAGAGCCAGGAAAAAGTACACTGGCACAGTGCAGGAATTATTTATTTATTATTTTCAACCAATCTATCCTTAGCACAGACTACACATTCTTAAAGGGTTACTCTAACCACTTTAGTGATTTGAAGTGGTCATGGTGATAGGCGTCTGTATGTGCAGCGTTTGTTTGAAATTCTGCACATTCAGCGATATATTACCTCTTGTGCTGGGGGATAATTACACATCCCTTTCCTCCTTCACACCATATGGGTTTATTTAACTATATAAAACAATTAAGACTACTTTATATTGATTTTGATTTTTGATGACTGATTTACCATGCAAAAATCTAAGAGAAACGAGACACACCAAGCGATTAATAAACCAAGCCTACATTTATCCTCCGTAAAAAATAAAAATAAAAATTCAAGCACAAAAAACAACCAAATCCCTGTCTTGAATCTCTACTCCCTCCCCACGCCAGCACAGCTCACATGCTTTGTGTCAGAAAAAACGGTCAAATCAAATGCTTCTTGATGAGAAGTACTTGACTGCACCATGCAAGGCCCTTGATGACGCCAGACGGGGCATGGAGATAACCGCCAAAAGCTTTGTCCGCTGCTGGATTATAGGCAAGGTTTAAAACCTTTTTCCGGTTTCAATGGGGGACCTAGGCAAGAATGCCCAATGTTTGAGAGAGGACCTTAATTTTCTAGTATGCTGGGCAGAATTAAACTGGTACAGAAGGGCACCAAGCTCGCAAGTTCCAACGACTTAATGTCGCAGGTGTTTTAAGTTCCCAGGTGAACCCAAATCGATTTAAATATTGGGTCCTGCCAGCCCAACCAACAGCTGTTCATGCTTCCATGTAAAATGGTTGTATAGAAACGAATGCCCTGGATTGGACACAAGTACATTTATCATTATGTCTAAGGTGCTTTTTCTGGTGTTCCCAAAAACATCTCAGGAGGGAAGGACAGAAGTTTGGCACAGAGAATCCAGAAGTACCATGATGAAGAGACAGGATTCCAAAACTTTTAACCATCTCACCAGACCTGGAGCAGTATGGAGGTATGTCTGTGCATGATTAGGCCACAAAATCTGAAGGCTAGATTTGATTTGTTACTGCACTAGATAAATTGAGGCTTTAAAAACAATTCACCCAAAACACAAACTACATACCTGCCAAATGTCCTGTTTTTAGGAGGGATGGTCCTGTTTAGAGCACAGATCCCGCTGTCCCTCTGGTCAATGCTTTCTGTATTGTTGGTGTGTCTGAATTTATACCAGAGCTCCACCACAATAATACTCACAGTAATGTACATTTATACTATGAATCAACGACAATGGAAATTTAGAAGATCAGTTGGCAAAAAACCTGGTCCATAGCAAACTATATTTGCTGTAATGTGTGACCACAACACTTCGGTGCCAGATTACAGTACCCAGTAATGCCAGACTTGTAACACTGAAGCATGACAAACAGTTCCCACTGTCCCTTAGGAGAGCACAATATATTACAAACCACCACAAACCTCCGTTGGCATGCAATAAGTAACTATATTACAAAACATAGCCAGATGTATTTCCATTATCTCACAAATCATGAAGGGAAACCAAAAAGGTTTAAAACCCGATTCACAATGAGCAAGTAATTACAGCCTAGTGACGCCCTCTCGTCCCTCTTACCTCCTATATCTCAGCATGTCAGCATGACTGCCTGTAGAACAATTATTGCACACAATGCAATTCAATAGCTTCTCGTTCGGCCTTTAATCCATCACTTTACTAGGCTTTTATTCAAACGTTTTAAAAATTGTTGGGTTTTTTTGAGGGGACAAGCCCTTCAGCTTGATGATTTGTTATAGTAAGTTTGCTCCTTGTTCTGCCTGACCTCATTGTGACATGGAATTAGCCCTCTTCTTATCTTAACCTCTCACCTTCCCATGCAGTCTGCTCAGAGTCTTCATACTGGCTGCAAACCAAATTCGTAGGCGACCTGAATGAACATTGCTTTCATACAATAAAAAGATTTACTATTTTACACACCAGTCATAAATACTCAAATCACATCTTCTGGAAATTGTTGAATTGAATGCATCCCAAGTGGCCTATTTTGTGTCCAAATCCCTCTGTCCTACCCTAGTATGTTACATTTTAGTTGCATAAATTATTAGTAAGTCACCTAAAATTTCTCGAATTTTAGTGTGTCCATTTGAAATGTTGACAGGTATGGAATTGTAGTAGTAATAAGAAGAAGAAGAATAAAAGCAACCCTAAAATTGCACACTGTGCAGGAGATATAGATATACACACACACACACCTATCTATCAGTCAAAAGAATCACATAAAAGGGCAAACTGGAGACATATATTGGATATTGAGAACCAGGGCAAATAAAAAAAAAAATATAATATAAACAAACACATCTGGTAAAATGGAAGGAAGTGTGATCATTGTGATACAGGGAGCTTAAGGAAAAGAAATTTGATAGAATTTAACCCCCACCCCCACCCCACTCCTCAAACATGGCAATGCTGCCTTAATAACCATAGCCAATCACACTGACACAAACAATGTCAAGACGAAAACTCAGTTTTCACATAGCTAGGATGTGCTTTAGTGGTTATGATGCAGAGAGTACCTTGGTGGGCACTTATCTTGATCACATCTTGAGGCACAGTGATGCCCAAAATGGGCAGCCCAGCCCAGAAAGAAAAACGGCAGTCTGGCATGAAGGCATGTGAAGTTCATTAACAGCCTACCAAATGACCTTTATTAGGGCAGACCATGCAGTGAGCACTGCTGAAGCACTCTACCTTAGGGGTGCCCAAAAGGTAGATGCCCAGATGTTTAAAAAAAAACGACAACTCTCATGATGCATTGTCATTCTAGACATGCAAAGCATTAAGGTATTTGTAGTTCTACATTTTGGTCACCCCTACTATACATGGTCCTAGTGCCCTCATGACCGTAAGTGCTTCTAAAGATGGAGTCTTGCTGTACAGGGTATATGGCCATCAACATCCTGAGACATTGACATAGTGTGACAAGCCCCCCCGGAAATTGGGACTTTCTACTGTGGCCATTCCCCAATGACAGGGCAAACCATTTTGCAACCACCTAGCATGCAAGCTAAACTGCACAACCCAGATGGCCAATTCTGCCATTCATTCTTTGGCTGAGAGCATCTGCTAAGCACTCTCACTAATACACTACCCAGGTTGACGATTGAAAGCCGCCAGAGGTGGAATTACATATTTGGCAGCATCATAAAGATATCATACAGCCCTTGCACCATGACCACTTCAAAGCACTTGAAAAGTTCTTCAGCATTTGAAAAATTTTAAACCTTTTTTCTTTCTAAGGATACAGAAATTTAAGTGGGAAATATTATGGACTGTTCTTTAGCACACAATTTTGTAGTAAAAGGGACCAGATATCCCCCAGGCAATTTAAGTGGGGAACTGGCACTATTAATACCACTTGGTATTCACAAAACCCATCTGATTTATTACATGGTAGTATTATATTCCACTACAGAAAGAATCAAGGAAGAGCTGATACCTCCTCCAGTATTTAATTATTAACACAAAACTTGCTGAAACTTGGGGAAGAGGCCACTATCCTGATATTTTTTTGTGAATCCATGTACAAGTGGTGGGGAGTCGAAAGTACAATTTTATTATTTTTCTTACTTCTATAGCCCCGATTTGATGTAAATATGCAGCCATTAATGAATACAGTGAGTTTATTCAGACGTTATGGAATTTAACTGATCCAAATTTTTTTGGCAAATTTAATGCTGCACATCCTTTAGAAAATAACCCATACATATAACTCTTACGGCATTCCAACCTTTTCTTAAATAAACATGCTCCAATGTGCTCAGACGGTCACTTCTGTCTAAATACGGATGAAACTGATATTGCTAATGTGAATATCGAACTTTCACATTGGTAATATAAGAGAGGTGCCTTCGTAACCCCAGGTTTCCAACCATTTGAAAACTTTACAGCAGAACTGGGTGACAGTGACCACAGCCTCCTAGAACCATAACTACTAAAACGGCTGTCCCCATAGAGCAAGGGTAAGTCATAAGATAAACTGAAACAAAATACCTACTTAAAAACACAAATACCAATTTTATTTATTTTTAAATGAGAAAAAAACAAACCAACAGACCGTTTTCATTTAACGTCAGACCTCTCTTGGAATGGGTTGAGATATTAGCTAGTTGGCAGACTAAAATCAATAACACGCATACGTCATTCATCAGTGGAAACTTTCTGCTTTATCTTGACATTTTCAGGAACATCACAGGTTATGTATAAAGATCAAGTCTCAGGCCATGTTCTTAAATAGATTTTCATGGAACTCAATGGAGTGCTCCTGCTGATTGCTTCCATTATTAGAACTCTACCCACAAATGCTCTTTAAACATAACATGTGTATTGTCATTACATCACTTAAAATACAACGAACAAAAGCAATACAGTTAATGGATCATTGTAGGCCTGTAGACACAATATGGTGGCATATCTTCCATATTAAACATTGTTGGTAGGTGAGGAAAAAAGTAAAAAAAATTTAATGCAATTTTCAGATCCATACTTCCAAAAGACAACGGATAAGCAAATTGCAAATCTAAGACCAAAAGTGTTTGATTTAGAAAAATAAATAAATAATAAAAAAAAGTCAAGTTGTTTCACGAGATTACAAATTTTTTGATAGTCCCTTATATGTTTTCAGCAATTTTCACTTTTGCAAATAAAAAGAATAATACAACAGTATGCATAACTGATACATTTCTATCTCTCCAGGTTCACGATCTGATGACACTGCAATACCTTGCAAAGGCTTTGGCCGGCCGCTTATCCATTAAGAATGCTGCCAAGTCTGAAGAAACTGAATTTTAGAAGTGGCACTGCATTGTAAACAAGAACACATCACTGCATTATCATTCACAAAGAGCTGTGCATGGGTTTAAGAAAAGTGAATGGTGATCACAAAAAAAAAAACACAAAAAAAAACTCAATATTGATGTGTAAAATGTATCTGCCAGATCAATTTACCTACCTAGCTTCCCAAGCCTGTTTATTCTAATTATAGATTTGTACTGCATTTAACGAGGATCTGCTAATGAGACTTTGCGATCAGTATTGCACCAACTTTCTATAAACCTGCCGGCAGCCACCTAAGAAGGATATGATTTGTACCCATTGTTGGTCAAGATACATTAGTTTACATCATATGTGAGTGCACTATCTGGATTTTATTCATGCAATAATTTGGGAAAAACAACAATTTGGACAAATCGAAAAAGGAGAAAATTGGCCAGTTAGTGTATAATATATATATATATATATATATATTTTACACAGATTGGCGGTGGCTAACTGAAGTAAGAATAAATAATGAGCAGAGTGGGGGGAGAAGTAAATATTACAATGTATATATTTTACAGTTCTTCTCCACCAACCCCTCATCTCTATTAGTCACTTATAAACTTGATCGGTCAACAAAATCAGCATTTTGTGGCAGTTCATTAACTATCATACCCTCCAATCAATTTATATTTTTTGGCGCCATGTACGGAACACCGATTCACAAAACAGTTTATCCATTGCCCATTTTCTAATGGGTCTATATAGCATTTAGAAATTTGGGATTTTGAACAAACTGCCAATCGCCCAGAATTCGGCTAAAACCCAATTTGTTTGTAACCAAATGCACAATTGAGGTAAACCTCCCATTGTTCAATATGTATTTGAAGAAGTATCCCTAGGTGACATCACAGGCAAGGCAAAATGTTCACCCAGCTAAACATCACGGGGAAATGCAGTTCAAAATTAACAGTAACAAACCTTTATGCATTTCAGTTATGCAAATATTTAATACACAGCTCTCTGTAGAAGTTAATTTCCTGCAAGCCAGTCCACCAGATAAGCCAAATTGTACCAGTGGGGAGAATATTGTTGGGAAGACATGAAATTCTCAGCCCACTATATTGATAAAAATGATAACCATCCCCACTGGTTGTTTGATCTTAGGAGCAGGCATTGATAACTCAAATTCTACACAAGATCTTTGGAGAATCCGAATGTAAATCTATCAAAACGTTACAAGAGACAGTTTCTTCATCGGTCACAAATTGCTCTCAGTGAGTGACAGTGACCACCCATAGGGACACATATTGCTGAAATGTTAAAACAAATAATACTGGGGGTACAATTACAGCTCAGATGTTTTCCATACCAGCTAACCTTTCACCATTAAGCACTGTGCAAGAGGTTAACTGAAGACTAGCTGCAGGCAAAGACTGACTAGATTTGAGTGAACCCAGTGCTTGGTATCTAAAACACACACAGTTACCAACTAGAATAGCTTTAATAGTTGGCCTAGTGTAGGTATACAATCATTTCATTAGAGTGCTATGAAATATGTCGGTGCTATATACATCTACCAAAAAAAAATAAAAAAAAAAATTACCCCATTCCTCTGCTGATAAACTTTTACTTCAGATCAAGCCACCCCTCTACACACAAAAATTGCAATCAATTGCAAGGACAACATTGTAAAAGCCATATACAAACTTCATGGGTTTCCTACACAGAGAGGAAAGAGCATCCAGGAGAACTAAGAATTAGCACCAAAAAACACAGGAGGAGTGTGGGGGGTGAGGAGGGGACACACACACGTTCTGTTATTTCTAATTACTATTATAGTATAAAGAATATCTGATACAAACAAGCCTTAACAAAACAAAATATTTACATTTAAAAAAAAAAAAAAATAAGGACAAAAGAACATTGAAACATCATACCACACTAATATATATATGCATTATTAAAATAAATGCTTATCAGTTAAAGGGTAGAAAAAATTTAAAAAGAAAAAAAAAAATCCCCCTCCCCAACTGACTGCATAATAAACTGAATAGAGAATAGCTAAATGGAAACAAGGTTTAGAGACTGATGTGTCTGTGTGTGAGTAGTTTCAGTTTATCAATACCATAACAAACACGTTTTCCAAACAGTCCCAGTAAAAGGTTCCCCAGTCTGCTCTGTGTGATCCTCTACCACTAACACAGCTACAGAGAAGAAATGAACAAACTGCTCAGACACACACAAAAATGAGGAGAAAAAAAAAAAAAGGTGGAGCGGATTTAATTTCTACAAACAGCAGACATTTCAAATGCAGAGCTCCATTAACCCTTCTGATCTGTCTGCCATAGCCACTTACCTTACAGCGTGTAGTGTATCCAATAACCTTCCTATAAAATCCAGCCAAGGATGACGTTTTGTAAACCAACTGGGGGAGAAAAAAAAACAAGGGGTTCAAAAATAATTATGAAGAAAACAACAGCAAATCCCTCAGTGTCTCTAGATTCCAGATGTGATCTCTTGTATCAATATTTCCCTGCAGAACAGCGCCAGCTTGGGTCTCCCCAAGTTATTCAAGGATACTCCTATGTTTAAGGGTGAGGAATACAGCCTTATTATCCTCATCTGAGCCACACTTGTATTTAAAGACACAGTTGTCTGCCACCACCAAAAATTTTCTTCTTAAAAGCAGAACAGGGGAGAGAAGTAGCACAGCCATCCAGCAAAAAAATATATTTTAAAATGCTTTTTTCCCCTCTCAGCTTCGTATCCCTTTCTTCTATGGGGTTTTGGGGAGCCCTGAGGGGACAGTATTTGCTTTGTGTTTAAAGATTACCTTTGTCACCCCCACCGCTTTCACAAGGGAGAGAGACAGCCCAGATGGGAAGTGCTTGCTGCTGAAGCAGTGCCCCATTCCGAAAGCTGATCCCTGCTGATCTCATCAGTTAGGACTACTATCTAATCCAATGGCCGGGGAATTAGGAGCAGATAGCGACGCCCCTTTCTCAGCCCCCTTCCCTGCTTCCTCTAGAAAGCAGCACACAATGAGAGAAGACCACCAGCTGGCTGCAAGTGGAACTAGTTGCATCCTGGTCATTCTTGCTTCGAGTTAAATGGGTGTTCTGCATTCGGGGGGGGGGGGTCTAGAATGCCAGGAAACATTACAGAATCCCCCACGTTTTGAAACTCTTTGTAACATGGAGTGATTGGTTGTGAAATCCTACTTACAAAAGCAGAAATGAAGTCATTAGTGCCATTAGCTTTGGTACAATACTGATGTGTATCTCTTGCAGTTAGTTAAAAGGATGTCATGGTTTATAGGAGCCTTAATTAAAATATGTACAAGTGCTTTTCCAGAGCAGTTGATTGTATACATAGAAATTAAACTACAAGTCACTTAGTAGCTTGTTTTTTAAATGCATAATATTAACATTGCCACGTTCAAACATGTTTCCTGATATATATAATGTATTTTTGATGGTAGGCAGAGCATGACAAGGGCTGCCATCTGGTGTACAGCGTTAGTGAGCTGCATGAAGGAAACTGGCTAAAAAAAACACTCCAAGCACCATACCAACATATGTGACTCTTTGCACAAAACTGCTTACAATTTCAGTAATTTGTCAGTAAGTTGATAGCTGGCATGGTGCTGCTTCTATATGCTTAAACAGCACTTTAAAGGAACACGCTAAGCACCATAACCACTACATCACACTGAAGTGGCTATGGTGTTAGGAGTGCCCTGGTGTTCCTGTGATTGTAACGGGTCAAGCCATTTTAGAACAGTTTGAATTTGTTACTGGAGCCTCTCCCTGCCTCCACTACAGCTCAGTGAAAGCCAGACAGAATGACTTAGCACATCGGCTAAGGGTGATCAGCTGGCACTGCCAGCCAATGAGCTGGCCCAGGCCTGCGGGGTTTAGCTCAGGAGAGCTTATGGAATCTCCTGAGCAGGAGCTTCTGGCTCTCTTTAGCCTGTAGTGAAGGTTGGGAATGGCAACCCAGTGGTCCCTAGGTAAGAAGTCAATACTTTCTAAAATGTGCTCCTAGTGTTCCTTTAATTTGCCCTATATGATAGTATCGGATCTGCTGCCATGAGCTGGACTCCAGGTTCCTTGCACGTCTTGGTGGCCAGACTTTAGGGGATGTGCTGAGCTCCATCTGAAAATAAATGGGAATGTCATGATTGGCCGAGGCACCCCCTTTCTAGGTAAACTCCCTAAAAAAGCTGCAGAAGCTTCAGTCTTGTATTGCAGAAAGCTCAAAAGAGAGAATACTTGTCATTAAAAATTGGAGTGGCCTCAAATGTGAATTCTCCTCTGATCTATCAAGGACCAATGGCAGAATTTTCATTCAAAACAAGCCAGCTTTCCAAGCACTGATATCAAAATATAATTTATATCTGTTTATAACTGTGGCAGGCCTGCTGTATAGAACATCATTAAATGTCACAGGGCTGTTTAGAGCCTCAAATACTAAACAAGTAGGCCATGCCATACTGTCATAGGCTCTTCAGGATTCTACTTGTGATGACAGAACAAAAATATGGAAGTTTAAGGGGTTAACTAATCAATGTTATCAATTTGAGATTATTTATTAATTAATGAGTAGACTTCCTTTATGCAACCCATTGCAGCTTGAAGAACTGGTATATTTTGAGGTACATATATATATATATAAACAATGGCTAGTTTGTGGCACTTGAGAAAGCTGTACACTCATTGGACGTCACTGGAAAGCAGTCAACAAGGCTGTAATCTGATGCCAAAGATTAACATCACTGCCATAACAGAGAGCCATAAACAGCTGCATAAACTGTTCACATAGCAGCAATTGTATGGCTGCATGTTTATTGGAAACACAGGAGGGAGAGGGGGCTAAATATAAGTAAATGATCTATTATTTTTATTATTGTTATCATGTATATAGTGCCAACATATTCTGCAGAGTTTTACAATAATACATTGGGGATATAGAACAATTGTTGAAAGAGATAAGAAGTAAACAGGGTCCTGAGAGGAAGGAAAAGAGGAACACAGAAGGATGAAAAATGTGTCAGAGGCAGCAGCAGAGCTACCACAGGTAGGCACACCGGGTGGCACAGGCACTTACGGATGCCCAATGGGCAGGTATCTCTAGGAGCTCGTTCATGTACTGCAGCCCTTTAACAGTGCAATCGGGCCCATGTAATACTAGCAGCCAGTACTGAGAGGAAGTGAAAGCCTGTAACTTCCTCTCAGCTACAGACATCGAGGTGTCTGTGTATCTGTATGTATGTCAGTGTGTGTATTGGTGTGTCTGTGTGTGTCAGTGTGCATCTGTGTATGGGTATCCATATGTGTGCCTGTAATTGTGTCAGTGTGCGTATCTGTGTGTCTGTTTATCCATATGTTTGTCAGTGTATGTATCTGCATGTCGGTTTGTATGTGTGTCAGCATGTGCGTCTGTGTATCTGCATGTGTGTAAGTGTGTTTCTGTGTGTCTGCATATGTGTCAGTGTATCTGTATGCATGTCATGGTGTATATCTCTGTTTCTATGTTTCTGTCAGTGTGTTTGTATGTTTATCTGTGTATATGTATGTGTCTGTGTGAGTATCTGTTTATCTGTATGCGTGTCAGTGTCTGTTTCTGTGTGTCTATGTAGATGCATGAGTGTCAGTTTGTTTTTCTGTGTATCTGTATGTGTGTCAGTGTTTGTATCTGTGTGTCTGTGTATGTGTATGTTTATCTGCAGGTGCATCAATGTGTGTATCTGTGTACCTGCATGTGTGTCAGTGTATGCATCTGTGTACCAGTGTGTTTGGCAGTGTATATGTATATGTGCATGCATCTCAGCATTCAAATGTCAATAAAGCAAATACACCCTTTCATTCAAACCTCAACACTACATATAGACACACCCCTGCATTCAAACATAAAAAAATACATTCAACACTACATACCAACACACCCCTGCATTGAAACGTCAATGCTACATACAAACACACCTCTATATTAAAACACCAACATTATATATCAACACTCCCCTGCATTGAAAAACCAACACAACACTACATTCACTCACACATCCTCCATACAAAAACATGCTTACATTCAAACACATAAACACTGCTCAGTGCTAAATACAGCCCTGCAACCATGGGAAAATGGTAGATCCCCAGCTGGCAAAGCATTGTGAGAGTTATACGACAGATGGGGATCTACATTTTGGCCACCCTTGCAAAATAAATTCTTCACCAGGGTCCTCTCTACGTTAGTTGCAGTCAGAGGGGAAGAGAGGATGATGGATATGATGCTTGTGTTTATTTAATAATGTGAAAGTAGTGATTTCTTAAAGCACTAGCGTCTAGGAGGGAGTCTAATTGGATGGCAGAGCATTCCAAAGCAAACCTGCAGCCCTTGAGAAGTCCTGTGGATGAGAATCAGCAGAGGTGGGTCAAACAGAGGACAAAAGATCATTTGTGGAGCAAAAGGAATGAGATGTGGTATATTTGTATATTTATAAGCGCACAAAATGTGTTAAGAATCTTCATTCTATACTTCTCTCAATCCAAACTGCTTTGGAATAAATTATATTTATCATCATTGTAAAATTGAAGGAGGTATTTATTTCCGAGTGATTAATCTAATCTTATACACTGCACCAGCTCCTACTCCTCAGCTGTCACCCAGAGTGAAGTAACAGATTATTATTTATCACGGTCGTTTGATGAACTCCAGTGAAGGGAACATTATAATGTCAGGAGTACAAACATGTATTCCTGACACTAGTGCTGGAATGCAGCATTATGTACCTCACCCTCACCCCCTCTCTCCTGAGATTAAAGGTGATTTTACTTACTTTTTCTCTAATGCCAAGCCCTGTCTGGTCCTGCCTCCTTCTCTGAGATCATCAGTTTTGATGCTCTTAGCCAATCCAATGCTCGCCCATCGGAAAGCATTGGGAGGCTATTGTGCATGCACGGCACAATGCAGTCCTGCACCAATCACCATCTCTTCATAGAGATGCATTGAATCAATTAATCGGTTTTGTAGACCCAGGACATACTTGAAAACGAGAGAAATCTCAATGTATAAAATATTTTATCAATGCATCTCTGTGGGGAACGTTCAGCTCATCTATGAAGGGTGTGAAGACACTGCCCCATGAAGCATTTCTAGTGGCTGAGTAACTGCCACGATAGGTGTTCGTAGGCAGCAATGTAAACACTGCTTTTTCTCTGTTTACAATGCTAATGCTGCAGGGGCATGTTATAGATACCATAACCACTACACTAAGCTGTAGTGGTTTTTGTGACTATGGTGTCCTTTTAATATTTTTTGCTAAATAAATCTTTTCCCCCCCACTAGAACCATCCACCCATTAAATAATCAATGAGTAAAAGTTTGTTGCATGCCACAAACTATTAAGAATGTCAAAAGTATTGCTGACTTTATTGTACTTCCCATAGGTACCTATGGGGAATATTAGATGCGGTAGCTGGTAAATATTTAACATATATCATAAACAATTATTGCACTGGTATTAGAAAAGTAAAATAGTTAAAATTTTGTCAATTACACAGTTTTTTTTTTGCCCAGAGATAAAAGATGAAGAAGACTCTGCTCTAACAAGCTTATAATATAGGAAATCTATAATTCCAAATCCTGACATAATGGGCTTTATCTACTAAATAACAATTTGTTGGGAACTGTCAAGGGAATTTCAAATTTTAACCAAATCCCAAACATTCTCTAAATATCTCAAACAAATTGTCTTTTTCTCACCACACTTTTAATGTGTAAAATGCTAAACAAAAAGGCAAAATGTAAAATCATTCTAGCACAAAAAGGACAACAGGTTTCAAAGTAATATAAAACGATAGCATCAGTTCTAT